AGTGATTCCACTTCCCTCCCCCTTCAATCCCTGGTAACCGTCAAAGAATGTTGTTTTCTGTGAGTGTACGTATTCTTGACTTTTTGTAAAAGTTAGACCATAAAATATTTGCCCTTTTGTGATTGACTTATTTCACCCAGCATAATGTCCTCCAGAATCATCTAGGTTATATTTCTAAACTTTTGAGGAAGCACCATATTGTTTTCCATAGTGGTTGTACCATTTTACAATCCCACCAGCAATGTGTAAGAGAGTTCCATTCCTCCCACAACCTCACAACCATTTGTTGTTTTCTGTTTTTTTTTTTTTAATCATTGCTGTTTTTGCAAGGGTGAGATGGTATCTTCTTGTAGTTTTGATTTGCATCTCTCTAATGGCTAATGACCATGAGTGTCTTTTCATGTATTTGTTAGCGGCCTGAGTGTCCTCTTTGGTGAAGTGTCTGTTCATGTCCTTTGCCCCTTTTTTGATTGGATTGTTTGTCTTTTTGTTATTGAGGTGTTGAAGTGATTCATTATTATTAACTAAAATCCATGGTGTGCATTAGGGTTCACTCTTTTCTGGGTTTTGACAAACGCATAATGTCATGTGTCCACCGTCCAGTAAGCTGCAGACACTTTTAACAGTGACACTTTTTTCCGTGCTTTTTCCACAAAGATTTGTTAGTTAAAATGTGGAATATTGTTGGTTGAAAATAGCTACAATGTTTGGGTTATGACTTTATCAGTCCCTAAACGTATAGAACATCAAGAAAAGGTATTTAGGTGTCTTAGCATATCCTTCCTTCCTTCCCCAGTTTTTAAAGAACAATAATTAAGTTTATTGCAGAAATGCAAAAAATACTTCATTTGCCCAGATCTTTCTGTTCTCTAGACTTTGCCTGGCCCTCCTTGACCTTGGTGACCCCTCTCTTTAACGTGGAATGGGCTGAACATCAGATTATCGTATTCCACACATTCATATCACCCTTCACTTCTACTTCATAGCCCTCAACACAATTGTGGTTTTAGTTAAATATTAGTGTGAAGATAGTGGTGGTTCAATGGTAGAATTCTTGTCTTCCATGCAGGAGACTTGGGTTCTATTTCTGACCAATGCATCTCATGCACAGCCACGAGTCTTGTCAGTGGAGATGTGCATGTTGCTACGACGCTGAACGGGTTTCAGCGGAGCTTCCAGACTAAGATGGATTAGAAAGAGAGGCTTGGCAAACTGCTTCTGAAAATCAGTCAGTGAAAACCCTAGGGATCACAATGGTCCAATTCGCAACTAATCATCTGATGGCGCAGGACCCAGCAGCGTTTCGTTCCGTTGCATATGGGGTCAACGTGAGTCAGGATCCCAGCTCGACAGCAGTAAGAACAACAAGATTTGTGTAACTGCAGGTCTAGAGCCTGTCTTCTCCATTCTCCTGGAAGCTCCATGGTGGCAGGACCGTGCCTGTAGCCCGTAGCCTGCTTCATGCTTCGTAGCATGTAGACATGCCATGTCTGCAGTCATGCTACTTCAGCGTAGGTCCCTAAGAAGCAGTTGTGGAAGGAGCGAATTTGCGGGAGTCACAGTGTCCAGTGCTAATGGGGACAGATTGGAGCCCCTTTGCCTAGGAGGATTCTGTAATGTCAAGGATTTTGGCAGCGGCTTGCCTTGGCTTCAGGTCCCAGTTCTGCCACTGGGTGTGATCTTGGCCAACTTTCTCTTTGAGCCCCTATCTGCTCTCTGTCAGATGCAAGCAATAGTAGTACCCACTCAGCAGAGTTAATGCAAGGGTTAAATAAAACACTGCATATAAAGCGCTTGGCACAATGCCTGGCACATAGAAACAGCTCAAATAAGAGTTGGTTATTATAATTTTGATGGTTATTATCAAGAATCTGCTAGGTAGGGACTTAGAATGGTGCAGTCAAGTTTCTGCTCTTGTCCCCAGGTCCCTCTTCATTCTCTTTACAAATTCAAATGAAAATAACGCTGCAGTCTTATTCAGATATGGGCACTCCCCTGCACTCCTCTGTGCCTTGGTGGGTACCTTGCTTGGCAGCACACATCAAAGCTGTGCTCTGGGCTGGGTGGCCTGGAAGGATTAGCTTCCTTTGCTGCACCTTCTCTTCTAATTCCCAGCTCCCCGGGCCTCCTCCCACCTACGCTCTGTGTGTGGCCTTCCTGGAGAAGGACCAACAAGGGTGTTTCTTTTAGCCAGTGTCTCCATGTCTGGGCATAGGCATGGGTGCCTGCGCTTTTTGCCCTGTTGTCAGCCCTGCTGTGCTGGGGTGGGGTGGGGCAGGCCTGGGGGGTCCGGGTAAGGCCAGGCTGGGGGCCAGGCCCGGGCAGGGCTGGGCAGCTGAACTTCCAGGAACGGTTGTTAACACCGTACCTGCTATCCTATTAGCTGCCTGTCCTGTGGCTATTAGTCACCTTCCTAATGAAGCCAGTCTTCAGCTTCTGGGACAGCTGATTTCCAGGGGATTATTTGTGTTACACACTTTAATGCTTTTTAATAGCAAATTTTTAATTAAACGTAAAGGCCTTTTGGAAGCAAGGGAGCAGCAGCTGCAGCAGGACTCGGCATGAGGCACCAAGTGAGACCAGAGAGGCAGGATGTGGAGGGAGGGTGCAGGGCTGCATGGCGGTTCGGTTGCGCGTGGTGGGCTGGTTTGGATGGGAGGAGCAGGAGTCTGGCTGTCGCTCCTTCCATCTGCCCTAAAAGCCCACTCCGTCATCTGCAGGCCTAGAAAAGTGTGAGCTTGCTTACCTGAGGGTAGGGGAGAACTATTTGAGGAGCAGGGGTATTAGGAAAGGAGCTGCCCTGCTTTGACCATACCAGTAAATCATAGAAATGCTGAGTTTGGGGTGGAATTGTGGGATTGAGTAAGCAGATCGGCTCAAATAAGGTAGGCAACATGAAGTATAAACAGTCTTTAGGACCTGGTTCCAGCCCTGGCAGGCCTCTGATTCCTCATTTGGCAGGCAAGAAACAACACAGGGTTATAGAGATGGGAAGTGCCTCCAGTTGCAAGGGCCATGGTGGGAGGTGGTGCATCTGACAACAGGAACAGAGCTGCTGGTCGGTATGGTTGGCAGTCCCAGCCTGCCAAGGGAGAGACGCGGTGATTTCTTTGTATCCAAGAACTTCACCAGTTGGGTTGGTGTCTGGCCATTCCTTAAGTGCTCCTGAACCTCCGAGGATTTGGAGCAAGGGTCAAACAGAGGGAGCCCTTTGGAACAGAAGTCAAGAAAGTTCAGGTGAGGGAAGTGACAGCACAGTGGGGACAGTTGGCGAAGGCATCCGAGCACTGGGTTGTATTTGCATTAGATGATGCTCAGGGGTTGGCATTTAACCCAGAGGGGGCTTTGCAGGCAAGAGCTTGAAGAGGAGACCTCAGGAGACATTAGGTTGGTGTTTTGCCCAAGAGCTCTGGGGACAGGGAGCTTGCCAGCCTTTTCTTGCCGTTGGTGAATGGTTCTAGTCTCCTCCCCGTGGTGCCCTTCTGGGCAGTCTGTCATGCTGTCGTGGGCACATTCATGAGCGGTCTCTCCCGGCTTTGTTGCTTCGTTGCCTGGGTGTGTGGGCTGCCCCACATTTCTTATAGGAAGCAGTCTTTGTGTTAGAGAGATATGGGTTCACGCTGCGACCCACCATATAGAAGTCCTTCGACCTTTGGGAATGTGCTTTATGCCTGTAAGCCTCCAATTTCCTCATCTGTGTAATGGGAGTAGCTCTCATCTCAGTGTGGTCATCAGAATAATAACCTCCTTGGGGCAGGGGCTCTGTCTGCCCCTCCTGAATCTTGCCACCCAGCCCAGAGTCCAGCACACAGTAGGCATTCAATAAATGCTTGTGGAATCTGTAATTTATGTAAAGAGCCCAACACAGGGCCTGGCACATAGTAAGCACTGAATAAATGTAACTTTCCATTGCTTTTCTTGTTGCCTGACTATGTGTCTTTGCTTCCCAGGCTCACCATCCAGCCCCCCGTCACCCTCGCGTCACATGCCAGGCCCTGCCTTTCCAGCTTGTTCCTTTCCCTTTAATTCTCCTGTGCACTTCTTTTTTTTTTTTTTTTTTTTCATTTGAACTATTTTTAAGTGTTTGATTCAGTGATGTTAATTACATTCACTATGTTGTGCTACCACCACCATCCATTTCCAAAAATTTTTCATCACCCGAAACAGAAACTCCATGCCGCTTAAGCAGCACCTCCCCATTCGTTTCTTCCCCCAGCTGCTGGTAACCACTAATAAACTTTGATCTCTGTGTAGTTGCTTATTCTAGATATCTTAAGGAAGTGGGATCATAGAATACTTGTCCCTTTGTGTCTGACTTATTTTACTCAGTGTAATGTTCTCAGGGTTCATCCATGTTGTAGCTTGTATTAGAACTTCATTTCTCTTTATGACTAACTGACATTCTATCATATAGATATACCACCTTTTGTTGATCCATTGATCTCTTGATGGACATTTGGGTTGTTTGCACCTTTTGGCTATTGTGAATAGTGCTACAATGAGCATTGGTGCCCACGTATCTGCTTGAGTGCCTGCTTTTGTCTTCGGGGTTTATCCCTAGGAGTGGAGTTAGTCTCCCGCTCGCGTTTACTTTCCTGAGGGAGCTCTCAGCTTTCTGTCTTGTTGCTCTTCATCACACATCTCTCCTTCCCACTGAGACACCAGGTGTTTCACTGTCATGGGTCATTATCCCAGGACACCTTCCGGAGGACTAGTTTTTGCATTTCTTCGTTTTGTCTTACTTCTTAGCCACGATGCTTGTCTCTTGCCTGTGTCTGAGGCGGTCTGAGGTGGTGGCGAGAGACGGGGGGAATGGGAGTCTGGGTGCATCCCTCCCTGGCCGTGTAACCTTGGACTTGGGGAGTGTTGGCATGTTGCTACTTCTCACGACTCCTTCAGTGAGGCCGACAGGCCTGGGTGGGGGTGGGCTGCTCAAGAGGAGAAATAGGATTTCTGCATTTTCTCTCTGTTAATCTCTGTCCCCCTCTCCTCTCTTGCAGTGCGCCTCCATGACAGTATTTCTGAAGAAGGGTTTCATTACCTCGTGTTTGACCTGTAAGTGCCACTTTCTGAGGGTGTGGGGGCCTTTCCCTCCAGCTGGCTCAAGATGAAGGCTTGGAAAGAGGCCTGAGCTGGGTCTGCAGCCTGGGCTGAGAAGCCCCTTGCCTAAGGGAAGGATTTGATTTTGAACTTCCTGGTAATGGGGTGCGTTGCTTGCCCAAAGCCCCTGAGGGGGGTCTCCTTGCTCCCTCAGTGTCTCCCTGGGGCTCAGAATCCCCACAGTGGCCTTGCTTTAGCATTTCTGTTCTGCACTACACGTTCTGCAGATACTTTTGTCTTGTTTCTTGGTGTGTTAACTTAGTGGAATTAGAGAGCACAGCTCTTCGCGTGACCTTAAAAATTCTGGGAAACTGAAGGTCGCTTTTATTAGTCATAAACTGGACTCTGCTTGGTCTCTCCTCCACTTTGGATGTGGTTTAATATCTTAAAACGGCTCTTCACCTCCTGGAAACTCCTCCCCAGTATTTTCAGGGTTGGGTGTCTGTGTCCTTGATCTCGTTATTCTTCAACTTTAGTTGTCCTCCATGGCAGCCAGAGGTTAGTATCCACATCGGCCTCAAAGAACAGCTATTACTTTCTGCTTAAAGAAAAACCAACCAAACCTGTTACTGTCGAGTCGCTTCCGGCTCATCGCAACTCTATAGGACAGAGTAGAACTGCCCCATGGGGTTTCCCAGGAGTGGCTGGTGGATTCAGACTGCTGACTTTTTGGTTAGCAGCTGAGCTCTTAACCACTGTGCCACCAGGGCTCCCTACTTTCTGCATAGGCTGGTTATTTTCTCTTAGATCACCATGTCTTCATGTCTGCCTGAGTATCAGGTAATCTGTAGGTTGCAGAAGAAGAAATGTCCAGAAGGAAGGGGGGCCCGTGGTACCCTATGGCGGGGCCCCATGTGATTGAAGGATCAAGTGTGTTCTGGGCTCTCAGATGAAATGTGTGTTGAGTTGGGGTTTCTCTAAGAGGTGTTCTGCGATGTGACTGTTACCCGGTTGGGCGCTGGGGTTGGCCACCTGGCCCTCGCCTCCTCTGACCCTCCTCCTCGGTTGGTTGTAGTGTTACCGGCGGAGAGCTGTTTGAAGACATCGTGGCCAGAGAGTACTACAGTGAAGCTGATGCCAGGTGAGGCAAGAGGCCACCTCGGGTTTGATGAGGCTCTAGTTCAAGTGTACATCTAGGGTTTGGGATTGAAATAAACCTTGGCCTCCTCGGGGGACCAGGCATGGTGCCTATCTGAGTAGTCCGTGGGGAAGATTAGAAGAACTCTCGTCTGGAGGAAGACTACAGAGCTGGACCAGGGTTGCATTCTGGGGCCGTATTAGAAGTTATAGTTCAGCACTCCCAGATCAGTTTTATACAAAGCTCTTACAAGGTTCTTTATCCTGTCACCCCTAGAAATTCCTTTTCTTTGCATTCCTGTATATTCCTGAGCAAATCTAAGGTCCCTCCCTGCCCCCCTCTCTTTCCTTTGACAAGTCCTAGTGGCACAAAACCCTATGGAGCAGTTCTACTCTGTACATATATGGTGTCACTGTGAGTCGGAGCCAACTCAATGGCAACTCACAACAGTATGTACAAGGCCCTGAGCTGAGGAGCTGGGGATGACCCAGAGATGGAGAAAACATGGTTTCTGTCATGAGGAGTGTAGACCTCTGGGTTAGTGGTCCATCCAGAATCTTCTCAGAAATTCTAGCCTCCTCTGTCACCTTGTCTCTTGACTACACCCCACAGCCCACAGCCTCCCTGGAAGCCCTGGCAGCTCCTCCACGCGACACAACAGAATTCTCCCATCCACAGCTCTCAAGTGCTGGTTTGGCCTGCCTTTCCCGCCTCGGCTCCTCCCCCGGTCCCAGCTTTTCTCTGAGGGTGATGTCCTTACAACCTGGTTTTGATCATCCTGCCTACAGCTTATCTGGCTTATGTGCAGCTCTGGCTGCCTCTGGAGAGTGGGGGAGTGCAGCTTCCTCACGAATTTCTCAACCCTGAGAGACCAGTGTTTGCTGATCAACTTCAGATGCTTCAGCCTCAGGAAAAATTCTCAAGTGGGGAGATGAATTCCAGTGCCAGCAGGGGAGGACCAAGCCAGGGGCGGGAGGAGGCAGGAGAAGGCTGCAGGAGGCGGTGATAGCTCAGGGCCCCTGGGGGGGGGGTGGTGACTGTACCAGTGGGCTTGGCCTGGCCCTGCTGGGACACTTCGCATTTTTGCCATTTTTGGCCAGAAGGCTCTCTCTGCTAGCCCGGCTCTGTTCTAATTATACATTTCTGTGGTGACTTGCCTCTTCGGCCCAGTCTAAAAGTCTCTCTGGCCCACTCTTTGGCTGTGTCCTGTGAGGAGGTCTGAGCCTCAACCCTCAGGGGCCCCATAAGACCCCTCTGCTCTTGTGGGAGCCCCAGCATCAGATTTTAGAGAAAGGAATAGTAAGTCCATACCACCTGGCCCAGTACACGTGGACACCCTGCCTGCCTGCTCCGTGTCCCCTGCAGCTCCTGACGACTGCAGCCCCACTCTCTAGGCCAGGTTTCTCAGCCTCGGCACTGTTGACACTCTGGACTGGATAATTCTTTGTTGTGGGGGCGTCCTGTGCATTTTAGGATGTTTAGCAGCATCCCTGGTCTACCCACTTGACGCCAGTGGCACCTCCCACCACCCCTAGACATGAAAACTAGAGCTGTCTCTAGACATTGCCAACTGTCTGGGGCAGGGGGAGCAAAATCCTTGTCTACTCCCCCCACCACCCCCACCTCACTTAAAAACCACTTCTCTATAGACTTCCAGCGCTGACTGCTGGGAGTTTGAACTGCACACATAACAGAGTGGTTTGCACTGCACACATAACAGAGTGGTTTGCAAGGTGGACGACCTGATTCAAGAATCAGCCCTTGAATATGTGTCTAGGGTTAGTTTGTCTTTTTTCTATGCAAAAACATTATCAGAAATGCTCCTCTTGTACCCTGTTTGGACCCCTCTTAAGTACATCGTTTCTCAAAGGTGTCTGTACGTATTTTATCTGTTTTATCTCCCCTCCTGGATGATAAACTTCAAGTCAGGCACTGGGTCTGATTTGTCTTCGTATCTTGTGTTCCAAACTCAATGCCTTATAGGGTGCCAGTAAATATTTAAAGGAACCAATGAGTGCACCCACCCCCAAAACAGCATAGGTGCCTTAATTGGACTCTGCTTCCCTAGTTGCCGCCACAAGCCTCTTCTTCAAGAACAAAGTTGTTGTTGGGGAAAAGAGAAATAAGGAAGGGCTTGGATGATCTCCTCCTTCTCATGAGTGTGGAGTGTCCCCTGATGTCTTGGAAACTAACTGGTTGTGTTGGGCATCCACAGTCAACAGGAGGCAGGGTGAGACCCCATTCTAGTCTCTCTGCCGTTGCCTAGCAGGTGACCCTGGACAAGCCACTTAATCTACCTGAGCCTTAGTTTCCTCATCTGTAAAATGAAGTTGAACTAGGTGGTGTCCAAGGTCCCTTCTAGCTCATCGTTCAACGATCCCCTGTGAACCTGTGACCCAGGGTTACAGCATGTGGTTGTGAGTGGGTGGTTTAACCCTGCACTGATATTTCTTTTCCTTCTGCTTTCTCAGCCACTGTATACATCAGATTCTGGAGAGTGTTAACCACATCCATCAGCATGACATTGTCCACCGGGACCTGAAGGTACTACCCAGGTGCCCCCCTTGCCTCCTGCTTATGGTGCGTTGGCGCCACCTTGTGCCATATATTGGTACTGCGTGGGCCCAAACTAGGCTCCCTCCGGGCCTGGGCCCCAGGGTGGATGCCTCACAAGATTCTCTCTGTTCTTGTGTAGCCGGAGAACCTGCTGCTGGCAAGTAAATGTAAGGGTGCCGCTGTCAAGCTGGCTGATTTTGGCCTAGCCATCGAAGTGCAGGGAGAGCAGCAGGCTTGGTTTGGTAAGGGTGACCCTGTCTTCCTGGAATGCAGCCCCCGCCCTTCCTCCTCTTCCTGATTAGCCTTTCTCTTGCGGAACTAGAAGCCAGACCCTCAATGGTCCTGGCCTCCTCAGAGACTGGAGGGTTTGGGGAGGGTGCAGAGATCCCTCCTGGTCCGACGTGACTCAGTACAGTGAGTCTAGCTGTCATCAGCACTGTGGCTCTGCGTTCTTGCTACCTCTTGGGGGGCATTGGAAGTTCTTGGAAGGCATGTGGACTTGCGCTCTAATTGGGATGCCGGGCAATACAAGAGGCCCAGCCTGCATCTGTTGCTGCCCATGTGCTGAGAGCTTATAAGCAAAAGCAGCAAGAGGGAAAACGGAGTTGGGGAATTTACTGATGGGGATTTAACGAGCAGGAAAGTGGATTCATTGTGCCTCTGCCCTCTCTTCTGCTACAGGTTTTGCTGGCACCCCAGGTTACTTGTCCCCTGAGGTCTTGAGGAAAGATCCCTATGGAAAACCGGTGGATATCTGGGCCTGTGGTAAGCCCATTCCACACACTCAGCTTTTCAGTGTTAAGGGCCCTTGACTTTGGTAATGACGAGAAAGAGGCATCACTATTCCTTGCGGGGCCCATGAGTGATCATGTGAGATCATGGTGTTTGCTCCCATGCCCCTGGGTTGGCTGATCCCATCACACCCCCTCCCCAAGGGCTTCTGGATTTTGCTTCATCCTTCTTGGAGAGGGGTTTGCCTGTGCCCTAGAGGATGGGTTGTGCTTGAATGACTCCCTGAAGTGACTCAGGGACATGGGTCATGGAGCACAGCAGGAGGTCAGCTGGCTCCCATTTCTAATTCTGGTTTGGCCCTTGATTTTCTGGGTGGCTCTGAGCCCTGTGTGGCATTTCTTGGTTCCTCAGGGGAATAGGTGACTGACCCTAGTGACCTATGTGTTCTGTCTCGTAGGGGTCATCCTGTATATCCTCCTGGTGGGATACCCTCCCTTCTGGGACGAGGATCAGCACAAGCTGTATCAGCAGATCAAGGCTGGAGCCTATGATGTAAGGACGGGTTCACTGGGGAGCTGAGCCACCAAGCTGGAAAGGGCAGAACTTCTGCCCCTTGGGCTCTGTCCAAGAGAAGGGACACTGTGTTTAGTGTGTGACGTGATACGGGGAGTATCAAGGGACTCTGAGGACCCAGGGAGGGGCATACAGGGCTCAGTTCTTGCCACCCCTGTCCCAGGGAGCAACTTTTTTGCACAACCAATAAAAATAAGGAGCCTGCTGAAAGCCCTTTTGATCTGTTATCTGCAAAGAATGGAGGGGCAGTGTGGTGTACTGAGAGACAGCCCAGCAGGATGTAGGGAAGAGAAGTCTGGAGGCCACTGCACTGCAGTGGGACATTGGGCACATCACAGAGCCCCTGTTTCCCCCTGCATAGAGAGATGGGGTTGAGGCAGAAGATGCCAGAGGCCCCTTCCGGCTCTGCTGTATGTTCTGGCATTCTAACGTGATTGTTCTGTTTTCTCTTCCCAGTCTTTAAGTTGATCTAAGCTCTAATATTCTCAGGGCTTCTTCAGCTCGCTGCAGGGCAGCTTTAGGTGCCACAGGGGGTCCTGGTAACAGGCATTGGGGTGAAGACAGAGCCGGCCTTTCAGGGTGTGAGGCTTGCACACTTCATATCCCTCCTCCCCCTGTTCATTCTCCTTAGTTTCCATCACCAGAGTGGGACACGGTGACTCCTGAAGCCAAGAACTTGATCAACCAGATGCTGACCATAAACCCAGCAAAGCGCATCACAGCTGATCAGGCTCTCAAGCACCCATGGGTCTGTGTAAGTGTCTTTGTCTGGGGTCGGGGGGAATCCGGGATGCCAACCTTCGCTATGCCCTCAGTACTTTCCTTTTTACAGCATGGGATCCTTCTAGGTTCTGAGGGAGGACCCAGCAGAGAGGAAGCAGGACTGGGTGGGGCCCAGGGTCAATAGGTGTCACCAGGAAGGACTCGGAGGGCAATGGGGCTAACAGGTCTCTACCTGCCTCTTTGCTACTCGCTGTTCAGGTTATGATTTCATTCTGTTCTGAATGAGGGCTTAGGCTGACAGAAAGAACGTGGCAGAACCCAAAATGCATTCCCAAGCTCAGGGTGCATACCCAGCTCTCAACTCTCATACAGCCCTAATGGCCATGTGACCAAGACCCAGCAAATAAACAGAAGGGCCTCTGAGCAACTCAAAAGAGCATCCCTAGGGTCGGCCCAGCTTCTGAATTCCCAGGAGAGCCCCTAGGCTGTCAGTGCAGGTTGACATACTCTGTTTCCATGTACGATTCTGTGAAGCTGACATACCTGCTTGCAAACAAGAGGGTCTGCTACAGTTAGGCATCCTGACAACCAGGACGTCTTCGCTTATTTGTCCTTGTCCGTGTTTATTGAATGCCTCTCTGGTATTGGTTACCTTGCCGGGTGCTGGAGATATAAAGATGAATGAGGTGTGGTCACTGCTCTCAAAGATCTCAGAGATTATCTGAGGAAACAGACGCTCAGACAGATAATGCCTCTACAATGTGGCAAGTACATAAAATCTAATGAGAGCATAGGATCACCCACTGTCCCTGGTGGGGAATGGGATTACTGAAGGCTGCATGGAGAGGGTGACCTCTGACATGATTCTTTTTTATTTATGTATTTATTTTTATTGTACTTTAGATGAAGGTTTACAGAACAAACTAGCTTTTCATTAAACAGTCAGTACATATATTGTTTTATGACATTGATTACCAACCCCACCACATGTCAGCACTCTCCCTTCTTGACTTTGGGTTCCCCATTACCAGCTTTCCTGTTCCCTTGTGCCTTCTAGTCCTTGCCCCTGGGCTGATGTGCCCCGTTAGTCACATTTTGGTATATGGGCATGTCTGATCTTTGGATGAAGGGTAAACCTCAGGAGTGACTTCAGGAGTGAGCTAGAACGGTATCTGGGAGCCATACTCTGAGGGTCTCTCCAGTCTCTGTCAGGTCAGTAAGTCTGGTCTTTTTTTTGTGAGTTGGAATTTTGTTCTACATTTTTCTCCAGCTCTATCCGGGACCCTCTATTATGATCCCTGTCAGAGTAGTCAGTGGTGGTAGCTGGGCACCATCTAGTCGTGCTGGACTCAGTCTGGTGAAGGGAGTGGTAGTTGTGGTCCGTTAGTCCTTTGGACTAATCTTTCCCTTGTGTCTTTAGTTTTCTTCATTTTCCCTTGCTCCTGAAGGGATGAGACCGGTGGAGTACCTTAGATGGCCACTCACAGGCTTTTAAGACCCCAGACGTTACTCACCAAAGTAGAATGTAGAACACATTCACTATAAAATGTGTTATGCCAGTTGAGCTAGATGTTCCCCAAGACCGTGAATGATAGCCATCAGGCATGTGCCACTGTGCGGAGCCATGGAAACTGTGACGTGTTCAAGGAATGTTAAGTAGTTTGGTTGTAGATTAGGCTATGACTACAGGAATGTAAGATGAGGCCAAAAAAGATTCCATGACATACAAGTTTCTGCCTAAGGAGTTTGGGTTTTATTTTGAAAGGCTAGGGAACCATTTAAGAGTTTTAAAGAAGGAATGAAATTTGCTTTTAAGAAAGATTGCTCTGGAATTGGAAAATGAAATTGAAAAATAAAGAGGCTGGAGGCAGGGAACTCAGGAAGCTGTTGTAATTATCTAATCAAGACCATATGAGGTCTTTAGCCAAGGGTGATGATAAGGGAGTGGGTGGGGTGGCGAGAGTGGACAAATCCAAGAGAGATGTAGGAGGCAGAATCAAAAGGATTTAGTGACCAATTGGATTTGGGGAGTGAAGGAGAGAGGTCTTGACTTGGCTATCCAAGCAGAGAATTGTACTTTTCACTGGCAGAGGAAATACAGGAGGAAGAGCTGGTTTGTGAGAAAAGATGATGATTTTAGTTTGGAACATGTTGAGTGTGGTCTGGGGAACCTCCAGATGGAGACATCAGTGGACATTTAGAAATCTGGTCCTAGAGACTAGAGAAGAAGTTAAAATTGGAAGTACAGGTTACATTCATCCCTCTACAGATGGTGGAGAGACTGTAGAAATAGATTGATTTCTGTGCCGATCACATTCTTACTGTGAGCTTGTATTGCTTCAATAAGAGAAGAGCTGGATAATAAACACCAGCATTAACGACAGGAAGAGGTAGAGGGACCAGCAAGGGGGACTGAGAATGAGAAGGTCTGTGGTGGGGGAGACTCAAGAGCAGGGACCCAGAAGCTAAGAAACAGGAGGTTTTAGTAAGGGATCAATCCAATGCTGCAAAGTCCATGATAAAGATGGGAAATAATCCATTAGCTGGGCCAGTTGGAGGCCATTGTTTCATTGTCTCAGTGGTAGAGACAAGCCTGTTTTCAGAGCGGTGAGAGGCACTGGGGGTGAGGAGGAGAGTATAGACTGCATAGATACACTGAAGAAAAAATTTCCTTCTAAAATGATCTTTAGCTTCTCAGGTTACAGCTTCATTCTGGCCCTTGTGTAGGTGTGTTGAGAGGGGCTCTTTGGAGGAAAGGAGGGTTCTCTGCAGGAGCAGGAACCCTGCCTGTTCTGTCAACTGCTCACACTCTGGATCTCCGTAGATTGTTTTGTCCCCGCTCACACTCTGGATCTCCAGAGATCGTTCTGTCCCCGCTCACACTCCGGATCTCCACAGACCATTCTGTTCCCGCTCACACTCCGGATCTCCACAGACCCTTCTGTCCCTGCTCACACTCTGGATCTCCATAGATGCTCAGTAAATAGGAGTCGCTGAATGTGCATCACACCACACAGGATACTCTCCGATTCCCCAGGAAGATTAGATGCTCTCTCGGGCCCCATCCTCTAGCATCAGTTATTGGTGTTTTAATGTTCAGATCACTGTCCTTGCATCACCTTGAGTTTTGGGTAGTCATTTACTCTGAAAGCATTTTCACATCTACAAGCTCATTTTATCTCTGGAGCGACTCTGGGGTGGCGGGTGCTGGCTGAGTGCACAGCTCCGTCCTAGGCACACTGTCAGTGCTGGGGACACCAGGAGGGCTGAGGGTCTGGGCTGGGGATTCACAGGCCTGTCTGTTTGGTTTCCAGCAACGATCCACGGTGGCGTCCATGATGCATCGTCAGGAGACTGTGGAGTGTTTGCGCAAGTTCAATGCCCGAAGGAAACTGAAGGTGAGTCTCGCCTCCTGGGCGGAAGTTTCCTGAAATCGTGCCCTTTACAGTGTGCCCACTGCCCTGTCACAGAGGGGAGCCCCTCTCCTGGCTGGAGCTGAGTTATGCAGGTTGTACACAGGGGAGGCCTGAAAGGCTTGATGTCTTCTGGCTCTAGCGAGGAGCTGCCTTTGCCTGAGATCAGGCCACACATTATAGAGTCCGGTTGAATTCACGAGACCCTCCTCTTTCCCCAGGGTGCTATCCTTACGACCATGCTTGTCTCCAGGAATTTTTCAGGTATGTTTTCCTGGCGGTGCATTTTAATCCTACAGAGGTGAGTGGGTCAGGAGGGGGTGTTGCCGTCCCAGGTGGCAGTGGGTGTCTTGGGCAACACCTTCACCAGGATGACTGAGGATCCCGATTTGAGGGGCTGCTGCTGCTGCTCCTGCTGGGTTCTGTAACCTGAGATTCTGGGGGGCTTTGCTTGGGTTCAGATTTATGAATACTGTTCCCTAGAATCCCCCCACCCCAGGAGTAGGGAGTAGCCTGCCCACCTTCTGATTTGTCTCTGCGATTTCTTATTTAATTCTCTGAAGACTCACAGCATTTTGAGATTTTAGCCAGTCTAGGGTATCAGAGGATGTGCTGGGAAGAAAGAGAGATAAGGTGTAGTGAGTCTGCTCAGTCTCCACCGTTCATTTGCTAACGGGGACCACCCATACTTCATTGTGTCCACACAGAAATGACGAATGGAAATTATTCCAGATGTTTAAACCTTTTACAGTGATTTGAGCTCAAAATATTCTCTGTGATAACTAGCTGTGAAAGTGAAGAAACCGAGACCAACAGGAGAGAGGGAAAGGAATTTACTTCAGTTTGCATGAGGAATGGCGGGAGTCAGGACCAATGATTTGGAAATCACACTTGACATTTCTTTTCAAGATGCAAGACACTCCAGCTCCCCCGTCTCCCCCACCCCCATCGTTGTTTGCCCTCAGTTGGGAAGCTCAGTGGATTTTCCGTGAGGAAAAGATTAATGTCAAGACTGAAAACAGAAGTCTTTCCAAGCTAGCTGTTTCCCCTGGTTTCACTCCACCCCCAGCCCACTTTACTGCTTTGATTCAGGGACCCCCTCCTCTCATTCTCATAATGAGATGTTCCCTCTGCATTGTCATGGAAAGGGGACTGCATGTGGGCGCTAGCTACCTCTGGGTAGGGATTGCTTCCTTGAACTTGAGCCCCAGTGGGCTGGTCTGTGCTAGTTCTGGGTAACCCAAGAGCCCTGGCTCTGAGGAGGCCACAGGTGAGAAGACCCCAGGCTTCATGAGCTCTAGCCAGCAAGCCCCAGGGCTCCGGAGACAACAGGACTGGATAGGAGGCCCTGCGACCCTGGCTTAGGACTCTTTTGTTGTGGGTGCCTGTGAGGGCGGGCTTGTGATTCTGGATTCACCTCTCACAATGAGAACAGTAGGCCTGGCTGCCACCCCCGTTAAAAATGGAGCTGTAGCCCCACTTTGTGCTTTGTGTCCCCTAATCCCCTAACTACTTGCAGCTTCTAAAGGGTGCTCAAGGGTATTTCTGTGCTGACCCTGGAACGGTGATTTGTCAACACTCCTTTCTGAGTTGAAGAAACGTGAAGACAGAGTGTCGCTTCTCTTTCAGCCTGGGGATCAATAGCACGAGCCCCTTCCTCTGGCCTCCACGTCAGCCCTCCACCCCCACCCCACCCCATTTCAGGAAATCGGTATCCTGGTTTCAGGAAATCAGGCCGTTAGGACAAAACACTTTCACTTGTCCCTAAAGAGACTCTTTTTCTTGTTGCCCAGACCTTGTCTGGCTTTGAGCTCACTTTGCCCTGGGTCAGAGGACTCTGTTGTGATCATTCCAGGATGATGTCTTCTGCTTTGACTCTGGGACAGTGAGGATGGATCCCATCTCTAGAAGCTTCTATGGAAAGAGGTGTCTACAGATGTAATCAAGGAAGAAGGGCACCAGTGTGTCTTCTTAGGCCCAAGCTAGGCTATTTTCTGAGTTGGCCCCAATTAGGGGTACATCTTGGGAGTCCCTGGGTGGCACAAACGGTTAAGCACTCAGCTGCTAACCAAAAGGTTGATGGTTCAAACCCACCAAGAGGCACCCCGGAAGAAAGTACTGGCAGTTGGCTTCTACTCTGCACACGTGGGGTCACCATGAGTAGTCAGAGTTGACTTCACGGCAACTGGCTTGTGTTTTTTTTTTATTATTATTATTTTAGTTAAGGGGTACAGCTTAGCACTGGACTCTAGCAGCTTGGCTAATGGTGATATCAGGGCTTCTAGAATGTGTTTGCTTCAGCAGCCTTTGTTTTCTTTCTGAGGGCTCATTTTTTGGGCTTCTGCACCCTCAGAACACTGAAATATGGACTGAGAAAAGCTGTCTCTCCCAGCACCTTCTTTGAGGAGGGAAAGGGGCCTGTGTCTCTGAGGAGCTGGGACTGTGGTGGTCAGGGGCCATGGACTCTCTGTGGGCCCTGAGTACCAGTCTTTCTGCTGAGTGTGGCATGGCAGGGAAAAGGGTTCCTCTCTGCTACCTGCTCTCTGATAATGTCCTCATTTAGTCCTAGGCAGGGAAGGTCTGAGAGTAAGACTCACTTTCCTCACAGCCTTAAGCTAGGGATGCGTTACCTCAGAAAGGGCACCTGCCTCTCAACTAACCAGACTCTCACCTGTTGACTCACCTGAGGTAGTTGCGGGACGGGAGCTGAAGCCACTTCCCCAAGTGGAGCCGTGGTATTCCCTTTGCCCCGTCAGAGCCCACTTCTCTCAGGCCCCCAGGCCTGCCTCATCAGCCTGCCCCCTCTGACGCCTCCGCTCCCCCCAGCTCGGCTGGCTTGGCCACGCCGCCTGGGCCCTGCTGTGCGTGGGCGGCCAGCGGGTTCTGCGCCTCGCGCTGGGGCATGCTCACTGCTGACTGCCCCCGTGGCTTTGCGGCAGCTCTGTGCACTGAGAGATTGTATCCCCTCAGTTGGCAGGCAGAGCTCCGCCCCCGCCTCGCCTGCCGCGAGCGCCGCCGGCCTGGCCGGGCAAGGTACGTGGCATGAGTCCTCCCCGACCGCCTGTCTCGGCTCCCTGCCACCCCACCAGGAGGGCCAGCATGCCAGGCCCACTCACCAGGGAGACCAGTCCCCTGCTTGCGGGCTGAGATGGGCATGCCGGATGGATCACCTAACTTGGCATCTGCAAGCGCACTAGTGTTAAGAAGCCCCCTAACCAGCCATGCATGCTGGGCACTTGCCGACTCTCAGGAGGCAATGGCCTGGGGGACATGGAGCTGGGCAGCAGGAGCACTTTCCTCCAGACAGCCTGAGAGCCTGACCTGCCTGCAGAGGGCCGCAACAGACTGCGGCCCCCCCCAGAGACAGCCCTGGGCATGGCCTGAAGCTGCCCAGGGCTAGGACTAGACCTCAGCAAACCCCATAGAGGAAGCCAAGCCCCTCAAAATTGTTACAGCTCGTGTTTGCAGGTCTGAGAGGCTGTAGAGTAGGGTAGCTTCGGAGTCAGCCCTCCTGGGTTTGGATCCCAGCCCTGCCACCCCCTGAGCACCTCCCTTCAGCTTTCCCAGCCTTAGTTTCCTCATCTGTCCAATGGGAATAACGAATAACAATGTTGATGCTTAAGAGCTCTTATGCCGAAGGCTCTCAGCCCTGCCTGTACTGGGCAATTCATGATCCGGAAGCTTGTAAAAAATCCTGATGCCTGGGCCCCACCACAGACAAATAAAACCAGGATCCCTGGGGGTCGGAGAGGCATAAACATTTTTTTCCCAGCTCCCCAGGTGATACAGCAAATGCATGTAAAGCACTTAGCATAAGAGGTGGTCAGACACTAAAAAAAGTAAGTTCCAAATCACCCCAGCATGATAGGGACCTGGTTCTGGAGACAGGGCCAAAGGACATTTTTGGAGCTAGGATTCTTGTGATGGAAGGACGCTTATTCCCACTGGAGAGAGATGGGACACAGCTCGGGGTGGGAATGGCCATATGAAGGAAAGATGGTAGCAGCATAGTGACACCAATAGTTCATACTTACTGAGCACTTGCCGCGTGCCAGGCACTCTGCCACGTGCTTTTCCTGCATGATCCCATCAGATCCCCCCTACTACCCTGTGACCTATGCCCTGTTTTATCCCCATTTTATAGTTAAGGAAATTAAGGTTCAGAGAGGTTAAGTAACTCGCCCAAGGTCGCACAGCTAGCAAGTGGTGGAACCAAGTTATAAACCCAGAACAGTCCAAATGGATCAGACGATTGGGCTGTTTCCATCTCCCTGTGCCTCCCAGACTCTCCTACCTACTGTCTGCTGCCTTCCTATGACCTTTGTGGCTAGCCAGTGTCACCAGTCTTTGAACACAGAGCTCATCAGCCATGAGCCTCACCCTGTGCCTGGCTGGAATTTGTTTGATGTCTCATAGGTCCAGGCCTACTCATGGTTCCAGAGAGTGGGCTCAGAGGAAAGGGCAGTGAGATAGGACCCAGTAAACCTGGTGAGGACCTGCCCAGTCAAGGCTTCAACCCCCCGGGCGAAAACCTCCTGTAGGTGGTCCAGGTCTCTGTTTGTGTCTGTCGTCCTCACGTCTGGTCTCCTCGTGAACTGTGATACTCTGTTTCTTGAGAATGCTCAGGAGATGTCTTACATCCTTCCAGCTTGGACATCCTGAGACTCTCCATGGCATCTGGGGGCTGGGCCCTCACCCTTTCACCCTGGCACTCTGCTTCCAGGCCTGGGTTGGAAGCTGTGGAAGGCAGAGTCTCCAGTGCCCCAGGCAGCTCCAGTAACGAGCACAGGTTTCTCCTCCTAAGTGCAGTGTGTCCCTGTTTCGGCCAAGCCCTCTTCTGTGGCCGAGGACCATCAGCGCCTAGGAAATCCGGGGCACTGCCTTGAGGGCTCTGTGCCGCTCAAGACGCCCTTCTTGCGGAGGGGCTCCTGGGAAGGGCTTCTTCCAGAGGTAGACAGATGCTGTGGCTTCCTGAGTTCACCCAGGGGTTCCGGACACCGCGGTCTGGCCCCCTTGTCAGATACCCAGTCTCCTGAGGACCTGGCTGCCGGACTTCAGGTTGGGGAGAGGAAAAAATGCGGGAGACTTGATTTTCCTCTTTGTTTTCACAGCTGCCAAAAGCCTATTGAACAAGAAGTCAGATGGCGGTGTCAAGGTAAGAGTCTTTGCCCCTCCTGCCAGAGCCTGGCATCTATCTCTCCGAACAGTCACCATGGGGAATTCTTGGCCCCACCTTCCCCCTTTCTCTGGGAACCTTCCTATCCTTGCTATTCTGCTTGAAACCAGAGTCTGTACCTCAAAACAGCAGGTTCCACTGGCCTGAGAGGGAAGAAGGGAGAGGTGTTTCTCCAGACCCTAGTTGGCTCAGAAGGACTCAGGGGAAGTGATCCAATTTTTAGAGCTGAATCCTGAACCTGACTTCCAGATATGTGCTCATCTCCAGGGCTCGACTCTCTGGGTTTTTTGGGTCATTTGGTTACCCCCTTTCCACCTTTTTTAAAAGCAACAAATTCTTTTTATGAAATAAAAGCAAAGTTTGCCTGGTTGGCTTAGGGTACAAGGCTTGGAACCTGAAGCCACTACCCTTTTGGCCTTTTTCCTTGTCCCCAAAGCACCTCCAGACCCAGCTCAGACACTGCTGTGTGAAAGTGTCCTAAGCTTTTTCGAGACATAGGCTCCTCAGAGAGAGACAAGAGACGGGGTGTATTACAGCACATTCCCGTTTGGTGAGGGAGCGTTTCCTGTGGGACCAGAGCTAGAATAGGGACCAGGAGCCTGCAAGGACCAGCAGGAAGCCCTAGAGGGAGCAGCTGCTCAGCCAAGGCAGAGGAGAAGGGGCTGCGTGGACTGATAGGCTGGCCAAGATGCTCTGTGGCTGCTTTGCTGCAGAAAGGGAATGGCTCCTGGGGCTGGGGCGTTGGGTAACAGTTCAGACTATCTTGAAGCCTACCAATTTACACCATAGAGAACTTCAAACCTTTAAAACTCCAACAGAAATTTAAATTGGGCTTTTCCACGGGATCTTGTGTTCACAGCTGAGATACACATGTGTGCCCCATTACCTTCTCCCACCCTTCCTCCTCCCCTCATTCTCTCTGCTTGCCTGCTTCTGTGTACCTCTGCCCCCGGGAGGGGAGCTTGGGCTCCGCACTCATCCTGCTGACATGGAGCCAGGGTTGACCGGCGTGAGCTCTTCAGGTACAGCCACGTTGGAAGAAGGGAGCGGGTTTAGTTGGAGAGAGATTTTGGATATCGTTACTGGGGAGAAAAGCCGGAATGAATCAATCTTTACAAAGTATTTAATACGTGCCTTTCAGAGGCTCAGTGCTGAGCTAAGTTGTGAGGAGCACACAAAAGAAGGAGAAGAGAACATGTAGTTTTCATCTAAGGAGGTTGCAAGGTTAATTGAAGAGAATAATGGACAATCTTGGAATCAGCCAAGCCCTAAATGGTGTATGTTTCTGAACCCTAAGTGTGATGGTTCAGTCCAAAAAGCTTATGGGGGAACGTTTATTGGAGAAAGCTTAAGGGAAGTGGGAAGATTACAACCAAGTCAATGATTACTTTAAGAAGTGGGGTTGGAGGTGAGGGCAATGCGGGGTGACACACCTTTCATTTTTTTACTTTGTATGCTTAGGTGTGTTCCTTAGTATATATAACTCATTTAAGTTTAAAGTTAAATTTTAAATTAGATTAAAATTCAAAAGCAATAAAAATATTTTTACAGATTCTATGGTAGGTATTGATGTTCTCTACTTAACTGGAACATGGGGTATATAATGGAAGGATATGAAAAATGCAGCTGGACAGGTCTGTGAAGCAGAAGAACTGGAGGTTTGTGTGTTTGGCCATGGGAGATGCTGTGAGCAGGGAGGCCATGGCTAGCATGTTGTTTTTAGAAAGATTTGGCTAAGGGTGCAAGGGCAAATGCAAGAGGGAAGAACTAGACAAGAAGTTATCAGTTAGGGGTTGTTGTAATCTGAGTGTAGAATGGAGAGAAAAAAATGATTGGAGATAGAAACGGGTCATGTTCAAAATACTTAACCACCAGGAGAGCGCAGCCTATCAGAACAGGTGCTGCCTGCAAGTACCTGGTCCAGTTGAACCCATGAATGCTGGAAATATCATCTCTGTTAGAGATGTAACAAAGGAAGTTCACACTGGATACAAGGGGGTTAAAAAAAGGATCCATCAATGATAATGACAATCTTTCCAGTGTTGAATGTTAGAAGAATGGTGGTACTTTGGCTAGAAACGGAAGTAGTTTATGAAGGCATGCCTGTTGGGTGGAAGAGGAGTTTTGTATTAAGATCAAGAGAAAAGGCAGACTGTCTAGGTGGAGGTGTCTTTGAGGCACTGGAACATACCTGGTGGTAGCCCAGGGAAGAGGTCAGTGCTGGAGATGTAGGTTTGGTAATCACATGAGTGAACCACATGAGTTCATTCACTCGGCCAACATTTATTAGATACCTACTGTGCTCCAGGAGCTGGGAAGACGTAATCCATGCCTTTGAGGTGTTCACAGTGGGAGAAAGACAGGAAAGGACCAGTTTCAGAGTGCTCTGTTAAGGTCTCTGAGAGAGGTTTGCGCAGGGCAGGCGCCGGGGGAGCATAGAGGAGCATTGGAACCAGAATAGGAAATCTGTCTGAAGCAGGTGGCCCATGATTTTGATGGCTAGTTGGGTTTTGCCAGGTTAAGTGGGGTGGAGGAGAGGGAAGCATACTCCAGGTAGAGGGGATAATGCATGTGAAAATACAGAAGTTTGAAACAGCATGATGATTCTGGGAACTTAATTAGCTTCTATATGGTTAAGGGAGTCCCTGGGTGGTGCAAATGGTGAACGCGCCTGACTGCTAACCGAAAGGTTGGAGGTTTGAGTCCACCCGGAGATGCCTTGGAAGAAAAGCCTGGCAACTCTTCCTCTCAGCCATTGAAAACCCCATGGAGCACAGTTCTACTCTGACACACGAGGTCACCATGAGTTGGACTCACCTCCACAGCAACTGGTTATATGGCTGACAGGAAGAGTGATTGTACAAGGTAGGACCTGAAATAAAGCAGTGACAGTTGAGATGGAGGGGAGAGAGGATGGATAAAGTACCATTAAGGCCTGAACTTTAATAGAACTTTCTAGATGCTGGTCCCCTTTCTAGATGCTGATTCACCTAAGTAGCTAGTTAAAAATACATAGACCCCAGGGTCCAGCCTAGAACTCAGATTCAGGAGGCTGTTGTGGGAGCCAGAATCTGTGATTTTTAATAAGCTTCTTCCCTGCTACCCAGATGAATCTAAACCACATGAAGGTAAAAGCAGAATTTGGGGGTTATCTGTTATTACCGGGCTACAAGAAGAAGAGGAATCAGAAACGGAAATGGAGAAAGAACTAAGAGGTGAGGGTAGAACCAAAATGTACAACATTGTCGAATCTTAAGGGCAGCTGAGAAGGATGAGAGCTGGAAAAACAGAATTATCAGATAAAATGTGTTGTTTTTTTAATTGTGGTATATATAGGTGACAAAACATTTGCCATTTCAACAGTATTCACAAGTACAGTTTAGTGACATTGATTATGGTTGTTGTGTTATTCAGTCATCACCCTTATACATTCCCCAATTTTTCCATCATAGATAAAATGTTTTAAATGAGAACACGTGTGGGGAATGCAGCCCTTACTTCCTCTTTCCCCCACCCAGCCTTTCTGGGGAGCAGCTGAAAGACTCAAGTGACTAGATCTCCTTTCTCATGGGACACAGTGCACCAAGGGGAACACAGCAGGCTGAGTCTGCCCCTTTTATGTGCTCTGTAAATGGGAGTTTTATGCTATGCGCTTTTGAGACAAGAGTTTTAATGTAGTGGTGGGACCGGAAGCCAAGAAGCAGGCATTTTAAGAAGGGAATGGCCAACCCAAATTAAAAGGCCAACAGCAGACAGGCTGAAGAAAATATTCACAGCAGGTGTGATGGGAGGGGTTAATATTAATTTTACACAAAGAACTCTTTCTAGTAAGTAAGAATCTCTCCTAAAACCCAGCACATAAATGATCAAAAAAGATTAACTGTAATCTGAGAAAGAGGAGGTAGAACTGGTTAACAAATGTGGGAAAATGTTTGCAAAGAAATGCCAGTCAGGGGGGAAAAAAAAGAAATGCAAGTTGAAACGAGGTGCCTTGTTTTTGACTCTGCCTGCACTGATGGTAGTGTGAATTGGAATGGGCCTTTCTAAAACAGTTTGTGTGTCAAAAGCGATAAAAATATACCTACCTTTTTTTACCCTGTAATTCTACCTCTGGGAATTTCTCCTAAAGAAATAATTCAAAATACAGAAAAACCGAAAGCATGGAGATGTTTAATATAACATCATTTGTAACAGTAAAAAGCTTGGAGACAGTGTAAAAAGCCAGCAAGGGAATGATTACATAATTTTGGGAAATCCGTTTAACAAACCGTTACGAAGTTATTAATTTTCAGTACTCTATAATAGTGTTGTGGGAAAATGTTTTATATTAAGTGAAAAAGCGAGATATAAAGCAGTACATATAGTACAGTCCAAATTTTGTTTAAAAAACAATGTGTTAGTATACACGTATTCAGTATAAATATATATGGACAGAAAAAGAATTGGAAGAAAATCCACTGAAGTGTTACAGTGATCTCAGTGGTGATGGGAATTTGGGAGACTTTTGTTTTCTTTTATACATTTTTCTGTGTTTTCTACATTTTTCACCTAAAGCATATATTACTTTTATAATCAGAATAAAAATCAAAATACTATTTATTTTAAAAGCAAAGCATAAAGTATCTTACAATGATAGTGTTTTTTAATTGCATAGGGGAAAAAAAAGACTGGTAAGAGTAATAGGATTGTGAGTGGTTTTTTTCCCCTCTCTTCTCTGTTTTCCAAATTGCTTATAATGTAACAGGAACATGTTTATAACAATAGCATGGTTAGATGAAAATGTCAAGGAAAAAAGGGGGAGGACAAACCAAGATGTGCAGAGTTCAGCCCTTCTGTGCTCTCTTGAAAGACCATCAGGTGATGGTCTGTATCCTGACCTGCGAAGTTGCTCAGAGGATACTGAGCTTTGGGCATCCTGAATCCATTGTAGATCATCTTACTTTCCCGACTCTCCCCTCCCCCATTTCCTGCTGCCTGCGTGTTCAAAGGAGCCCTGGTGGCACAGTGCTTAAGCGCTCAGTTGCTAACCCACCAAGGGAGAAAGATGTGGCAGTCTGCTTCTTGTGAAGACTGGAAACCCCATGGGGCAGTTCTACCCTGCCCTATAGGGTCACCATGAGTCGGAATCAATAAAATGTTTTAAATGAGAACATACGTGGGGAACCCAGCCCGTACTTCCTCTTTCCCCCATCCAGCCCTTATGGGGAGCAGCTGAAAAACTCAAGTGAATGTATCTTCTTTCTCAAGGGAGACTGGGGCACCAAGGGGAACATGGCAGCGGGATTTGTTTGTTGTTTTTTTAAGTGCTCAAAATTTAAGTGCTCAAAGGGAGGTTTCTTTCTCACTGTTCAGACTCCACAAGGTGCCAGAAATACTGGCATTGGTTTGAGTACCTTGCTTAACTTGTGCCCTTTAATTTGGGGACTTCAGGTTCTGTTTGGGTTTCTTTGAAGGTGGATGCCAGTGATCCAGGATCTGTGGAATAGTGGGAGCCACTTATGAGGACAAATCTTAAGGTGCCACAAACTCTCAAGTCTCAGGAGGCTAGTCTAGGACATCTTGTGCATTCTGCTTATCTTTAGAAAAGAAAGATAAAGGAAAGCTAGAGAGAGAAAGGAAAAGGATATAGTTATTTCCTTAAGTACTGTTTGAATATTTGTTTAATAACACAAAGGAGGCTTGAATCTCTAAGTTGTCTCATTTATTTAATTTTTAAATAAAGTTTTAAAATTTAAATAAAAGTGAGCTAGTATTTCAGTAGTGCTGGCCTTGTGCTGGCTGAGAAGGAGCCCAGCTGTGTATGGCTGAGGGCAGAAACCTGAAAGGAAGAAGAAGAGAGGAGTTTAAAATCATCCACTAACCAGGGAAACAGCCTTTGAGTGCAAAGGGATTATATAGGGTTTCTTGCATTAAAAAGGAAAAAAGCAATGAGAAAGTTGGGAACATATTCTCTATTAGGTTGACAAGCAGACAGCTGAAAAGTCTTCTGAATAATGCAAGGTCCAGGGGAAGGCCATCTGCAATGGCCTTTGACAGCAAGCCCCTGAAGGCCACCAGACCGAATGCTGAGCCTGGCCAGTGGCCCAGAAGAGTTTTGAGTGATATGACTCAGGGCAGGTTAGAAATCTGTGCTATACTTTTGCCTGTGGAAAAACCAGTCTGCTAACCGTTCAACTCAACACACGTTGTTTATCATGTACTCACTTTAAGGTGTCTTGCTGGACGCTGTGAGATTACAAAGATAAGATATGGACCTTCCCTCAAGGAATTAATAGTCTAGTTGGATAAAGGGATAAGTACATACGTGAATGTAAGCAACACCCTCTTTTCTGAAGGATACTTTGGAAATAAAATCTTGTATGTGGGTATATACGAAAGGTTAATGCAGACAATACCTAATTATATTCAGGTTTCTCTTTAAATCTAGGTCATTCTTTTAAATATTTGTAGTTCTCTTCTTTTGAATATAATATATTCCCTAAAACATCTTCTAAAGTAGAATGTAAGCTCCTTGAAGACAGGAATGTTTATGAACTGATATGTTTGTTGCCAAATCCTCTGTGCCTAGAACAGCCTTCAATAAGTATTTGTTGGATATTGTTAAACCAATGTGCAGAGGTCAAACAGTAGACAGAACGTTCCAGAGGAAGTTTCTGTTTCTCAGAGGGCTGATTTTAAAATTCTTAATTACACTTCACCTGTTAGCTAGTCTTCTGAGAGACATTTTCAGTATGTCATGTGGCTGTAATTCTGTGTTCGTGTTTCCCATAAAGTCCAGTGAGCATCTAATTGAAGCTAAAAAATTCACTGTTGTCAGCATTCCTCATGATTTATGTCTCTTTATGACACCTGCACTTTTAATCACCAGCACTTTTATTTTTCCATTTCCTGCTAATTGCAAAATGCAATAAAGCCTTCAGATCTTATAAACAAGCACGGCCATACTGACAACAAAGATATGCCAAAATTTAACTGTTTATTAGATGATTTTCAAAAGTTTGACATCTCATCCAAAAAGCACTAGGTTCAAAAGTCAGAGGTATTAAAGCCAAGGACGACCTATAAGTAGCTTTTTTAAAAATACGTTTTTAAATAACTGTTGCTTTGCTTTTAAGTATGTGCATTTAAAAAAATATGCAGCCTATAGTTTTGGCTATTTACCTGGTAGCTGCTTACTCAAATTTCAGACAGACCTACTACTAAGAGAAAATAAATAACTTGTATGTGTGTGAGCCTTATAACCCCAACCTAAAAATTTACAGCAAAACGTTCCCTACGCTCATAGACTTGTGACTTAATCTCCTTAAGAAGCTCTCTCTGAGCAAGGCTGGGACATCTCAGAATATACTAAATCTGTGTTTGTGACCCTGACAGCAAAGGAGTTGTTCCTCGCCTGGGTCTGGAGGGCTGTGTGTGCCTAGTTGCTGTGTTAACCGCTCTGGTGCTAGACTCCAAGGCTCCTTCTGCTCTTTCCTCCCCCAACACAGAGCCCACGCGGGTGCACTAATGCTGCAGCGTCTCTGTGCTTCTCTTCTTACCTCCTCTTTCCCCTTCTCTTTCCCTTTTGCTGTGATGTGTCCAGAAAAGGAAGTCGAGTTCCAGCGTGCACCTAATGGTGAGCCTTGCCTGCCCACCCATCTGCCCACTCCATGCTGCTGCACGCGCCTGCCAGCCACGCAAGCCCATTCTGCCATGTGCGTGTGCTCCATCCATCCTCACTGCATGTCTGTGCTGTGTGGGCAGCTATGGCCTGTCCTGCTAGGCGGGGGCCATTGCCCGAGGTCACATGGTGGCCTACAAAATGGGCATTGGAACATGTGGTGCGGTACCCCCTGCTGCGGAGGTTGACGGCCCCCAGCAGCCCAGGGCAGGAAGTGAAGCTGGCACAGATTTGGGGCCAGGCAGCAAACTTAGGGAGGGCACCCCACTCACTGTCTCTCAGGAGGAGAGGCCCTGCTCGCTGGCACCGGCAGCCTCTTCCTACAGACCTGTGGCCAGTAGGCATCGGTGTGGTGGGCAGATGAGCTGGTTGTAGGCTCGTAGCTCTGAGTCCTGCTCTCCTGGCCTTTTCCCCTGTGCAAGTGTCCATTGTTAGGCTATGCCCCACTTTTCATCCTTCCCACCCAGCCCTGGGAGGAACTGCTAAAAGATCCAAGTGAATGCATCTTTCTCATGGGACACAAGGCACCAGAGGGAACATAACAGTCTGAGTCATTATGAAGCCATCCATTAAAACCACAGCTGGGGCCACTTGGGTGACATCCCAGCTCTCTGCAGATACGGCAGGTTCGTGGATGCCCTTGGGGTCTTTCTCTCAGCTGGGCTTTGCAGGCAGGACAGGCTTCTCCAGTCAGCCCAGAACAGGAGGTCAGTATTGGCAGCCAAGCTAGGAGGGCTCTGCTCTTTCCTGGCTGCAGGGAAAGAGAGCTGAAGCTGGTGGGGGTTTAGAGCCGCATCCCGACTATTCCTGGGACCTCCTCTTCTCCATCCTACAGAATTCAGTGGAGTCTTCTTAGCATTTGGTGCCTGGCTTGAGGTTCCATGCTTAGCCCTAGGTTTGGGGGTATCTCAGCTGTTGACAGGAAGCTTGGGATGGATGGCTTCTGTTCTGGTCCAAGGGGCCATAAAAGAGACCTCTGGGCAAGAAGTAGGACAGGCTGGACAGCTAGGAGAGAAGCATGTCCTAGCTGTAACAGAGTGTCCTCATCCGTGCCCTGGCCAGAGACAGAAGCCACATGTTTGTTTCTCTGCCTGTTGAAGAACTTACAGGCATCAGGCTGCTCCTCTGTGGCCTCCGACCCTGCCGGGACCCCCAGCGAGCCTGAATGCACTGGTTAAGGAATCTTAAGATGCAGAGAGCGTCGACTGACTCCCCACCCTGGGGACTCTGCCGCTCTGTATAACATTTTGAAAGACAAGGATATATCCCTGATTGTGCTGCTGTCAGGAATGGTGGCCTACTCTTTCTTGGGGGCTGGGTTCTGGGACTGTAGTCACAGCCCCCACCTGGACTCACCTGCCCCCTTTGTGGCACTCTGCCAGGCGGAAAGGTGAGCAGCACAGCCCTCTCTGCCCGCTGGGGTCAGGGAATGCATTTTGTATCCAACGTTGAATTCCATCCCTTGCCTCTCTGGACATCATCTCCTAGGCCGGTTCTTCTTTCTCTTCTCATTCTTCTCCTTTTCAGTTCAGGCTTCAAATTGGCTTTTTAAGGAGAAGGAAACCCAGGTGGTAGGTTGAACAGAACAGCAGGAGGCTGGACCCAGAGTTTCTGAACTTTGCTTTCTTATAAACCACCCTTTCCTCCACCTGTAAAGTGGGGAGAAGAGCCTGACTTTCTTCGGGTCAAGTTTGATTGTATAATGAGATGGCACCTGGAGAGATGCTTTAAAACAAGTCTCTGGGCTGGTCCCACCTTGAGGATGCCTCCAGAGCTAGGTCTCTGGGTCCCTCCAAAACCCACCCCTTCTGTTCATCTCTCCAACTATTGCTCCATCCCCATAGAGTTATGGAGGCCACCTCAGGCCTACCTCCTCCGGGCCAGGCCAGGGAACAAGGGAGGTCTGGGAGTCGAACCTGAGTTGCTTTGGTGACTCTGGAGGAACTAAACCATCTGTTTTCTTGTCTCAGCCACAGAGCAACAACAAAAACAGTCTCGTAAACCCAGCCCAAGAGCTCGCGCCCTTGCAGACGGCCATGGTACCTCCTGACTACAGCTTCTCCGCCTCTGCCCCTGGCTGCCTCCTGCTTCTTCCCTCTTCTCCTCTTGTCTCCCCTTCCCAGGCTTCCTCGGCCTTTTTCCTTTCTCAGACCCTGTAGAGCAGGCTGCTTTGTGTACTGCCCCTGAGGACCCGTCCCCTTCATTGTCCCGCTTGGCCATGTCCCTTCCTGCACGGCAGACTGCTGCTCCCGCTCCTTTCACTGTTGGGGGGGAAGAGTGATCAGGGCTCTCTGCTGAATCTCCCAGCCCCAGGCAGGGGCCCCTAACGGGTCTGCTGTGTGGGCTGGAAGGTGAGTTGCTTATACAAGGAGAGGGTAGAAGCTTTCCTGGGACCATCGGTTTTCGGAGGCCTCCTCATAAAACTTGCCTTAGCCTCTCCTTTGCAAAGCCAGGCGCAAGAGGAGGGCCGTGGCCACCACCTCTGGATGGTGCTGAGGTCTCTGGTTCCTAGTGAGTCCTGTGCTGAGTTCTTCCTGGGCTCTTCCAGGGGCTCTGTGGGCTCAGAGCTCCCTCGGCTATGGTAGCTAGAGAGTGAGCAAGGGGGTGAGAGGGAGGGGTCACTGTGCCTGCTACTCCTTTACTTTCTGTGGACCCTCGTGGTGCCTCATGCAGTACTGTAGAGACAGGAGCTCTGGGGAAGGCAGAAGGTGGGTGATGCTGGCAGCTCCCTGGGCTCAGCTTGCTGAGGGGCATACCCACATCTTTCTGGAAGACCTCATCATTCACTCTCCCTATGTCCCTGCCTCCCACCATCCCTTGATGAACACTGTTGGCAGGGCCCGGCCTGTGCCCTCAATTCCATAGCTCCTCCAGTGTATCTGCCTCATGGGACCCCCCTGGGGAAAGAGCACGAGAACCAGCATGGATCAGGAACCACGGCCTTGTCCTCTCGGCTTCCCTGGTGTTTGATTCTGCTGAGTGCCAGGCCTCTCCTTCTGACAAGCCAGTGCCATCCCTTAAATGCAGGGCTTCCCGGTCACCTTGGACCCCAACTGAGGCAGAATATTTGGTCTTGTGGGAACGGCTGATGGCCAGGCCTCAGTGGTCATCATCGGGTCTATGGGAGTACCAGGTGGAGGGCGGGGTCTCTCAGGGAAGAGCTGTATGTAGGTCTGTCCCCAGGTCCAGTGGGTAATTCTCATCTTCTCTCACAGGAGCCACAAACCACCGTGGTGCACAATGCTACAGATGGGATCAAGGTGAGTGGCCCCTGAGCCGTCTCCTGCTTTCCAGGTCAGCAGGAAACAGGGCTGGGTCATGGGGCGATGGGTCCTGTGGTTGACACCTACGGGCTGCGCCCCAAGGTGAGGTGTTTGCGAAGTCTGGGTTGGAGGTAGCGTGTGCCTGTTTGTTGCTGCCCTTCTAGGAAGGGCATTATACTTAGAGATTCCAAGCAAAGGCTCTGTGGTCAGACAGACCAGGGTTCGAATCCTGGCTCTGTGGTGCTGAGCAAGTCAGTTAACTCCTGTGCACCTCAGTTTCTTTATCAGTAAATTAGCGATAAGAATAGAACCTTTGTCCACGAGTTGTGAAGTTTAAATGAGAGTAAACGTTAACTAAAGAAACAGAAGCAAGAATATAATCAGACCCCAGAGCGTTTTCCACTGCTCGCCCCTTTATGCCCTCAGTCGTCTTGTCTGCGTGTTTTCATTACCATTTAGTAAATATTTATTGAGTGTAAATAACATCCATGGCCCTGGTGTACAGAGGTGACAAGACAAAGTCCTTGTCCACAGGGACAGTTTAGCTGGGAGGTAGGGGGAGACAGATCATAAAGTAATAATCAAATGATAAAATCCAATAGTGAAAGTGCTATGGAGAAAATGGTACAAAGGAAAGAGATAGCCAGTGTCCAGGGCCCTTAATTAAGTGGTGGAAGGGCCTCTCAGGAGGTGATGTTCAAGCCAAAAACTACACGACGGGAAGGAGGCAGCCAGGCAAACTCCAGAACAGAGTGCCCCAGGCAGGTGCAGAGGCTTGGCATGTGTGAGGAAGAGAAGATGTCAAGCAGAGCTAACAGCACAGTGAGCAAGGGGCAGAGTGGCGGGAGGGTGATGTGTTTGGAGGAGCAGGCAGAGTCTGCTCTGTAGGGCCTGGTAGGAGTTTGCATTTTCTGCTAGCAGAAATGAGAAGCCACTGGCAGTTCTAAGCAAAGGAGTGATACAATCTGATTTACACTTTTAAAAAATCACTCAGGCCATGTTATGGGCAGGATTTAGGGAGGAGGCAAGAGTGGAAGCAAGGAGACCAGGAAACTGTTGTAGTAATTCAGATAGTAGCTTCGACTCGAATTGTAGTGTGCAACTGAAGAGAATAGGTAAGACACAGGTTTTATTTTGGAGGTAGAATGGACAGACTTAATTTTAGATTGGATAATTGGGATGTAAGGGAAATAGAGAAATAAGAGTCAAGATGACTCTAGATTTTGGCCCAAGGAACTGGGTGGATGGAACAGCCTTGGGAGGGGGCTTGGGAACCCAGAGTTTCATAAGAGTCAGATGGAGAAGGTGGAAGTAGAACTCTGATTCCTCTTTGTACCTCCTGTAGAAACACATACTCTACTTTTGTTGGGCTTGGCTCCCCAAGTTTCCAAGGGCCCAAGCCAATAGGAATATGTTCTTCTTGCCTTGCAGGGCTCCACAGAGAGCTGCAACACCACCACGGAAGATGAGGACCTTAAAGGTATGTGCTGGGCCCTTGGTGGGGAAGGGACCCCAGCAGTGACCCAAGTACCTTGGCTCCACTGTGGCGCCTGCCTTGTCTGCCCCAAGAACTGGGAATGGTGGCTCCTTATATCCCAGGAGAGAGCTTGGCATAAAAGCTACTTTCTGTAGGCCAAGATATGAGGTCCCTGTCTGGTGCTGCTGGGTCGAGTAAGAGGCTTCTCTTCTTTGACTTTAAGTCTAGAATAGCCAAACTAGAGCTTTCGCTGAGCCTGTTTAGGGGCCAGGACTCAGGTAACTGTTCCTGTTGCTAATAGTGATATAACATCCCAGAACAGGGACGTCTCGAGTCCCTGCAGAAGTAGCCCACAATTGTGAGTCACAAGTGGGGTGACCAGTTGTCCCAGTTTTCCTGGGACTGAGGAGATTCCTAGGACGTGGAATCCACCCCTTGCGTCTCTGGACACCATCTCCTAGGCCAGGTACTGTCAATTTTAAATTGATGCAGAACTTGCCATTTTAAAACCAGGACAATTCAGGCAAACCGGGATGAGTTGGTCACTCAGGTCATAAGGCCTTGGCACGAATGATGGAGTGGGGACTCTGATGTCTGTTAAACCACACTTGGCTACATCCTACTGGTCCTGTTAGGAGTACCACCCTAATCCTGGAGCTGGCCAGACCGCCAGGGGTGTGGGAGGGAACGGCAGTCCAGGCCCCTGGGACTCCTGGCACTTTAGTTTGGCCTCTTGGAAATGCTTCCTTTGCTCCAGTAGGTGACCTTAGACAAAGCTTTCAGAAAAGATGGAGGAACGTTGTAGGACAGAGCTGAGAGAGCAGACCCGGGGCAATAAAGGGACAGCAAACCTTTAGGAACCAAAAAAATAGCAAGCCTACATTTATAAGACAGGAAATAACAGTGCCTCCAGGGCTGCTGGGATTAAGGTCAGATAAAGTCAGTTCAATGCTGGCAAAGTAGGAGGCACCTTCACTGCTGGGCTCTTGACCTTGTGGACATCTAGAACATCTTCCCCAGGAGCAGGAGTCCTTGTACAGGCTGTTTTAAGGCTCCTCTGGAAGCCACAAGCCCAGGTCCTTGCACCTTCCTGGGGCTCTCAGCTGGGAGGCCTCTCTGGCAGAGGTGGCGGCGTGGGATGTGGTCCAGTGTCCACAGCAGCCCGAGGCGTCACCTGGCCCCGGCTCTGCAGTGCTACGGGCTCGGGTCCTGTCCGGCTTGCTCGCTCACCTGCCTTGTTCTGTTTGTTTTGGCTGCTCTGCCTTGCCCTGCCCTGCCCTGGCTGGCTAGCTGCCCCGCTCCGCACTGGGAATGGCAGCTCGATGCCTGAAGGACGGAGCTCCCGGGACAGAACAGCCCCCTCTGCAGGCATGCAGCCCCAGCCTTCTCTCTGCTCCTCAGCCAGTAAGTGTGAGGGAGGCACATTCTGGCTTCCGTCTCCCTGGCTCGTCCTGAAGCCCGACAGGGACCCCCACCAATGCTGTCAGCCCAGCCCAGCTGCCCATCTTAGTAAGCTTTGGGAGCATGGCCTCTGCAGGGGTGGGGGAGCTATTTGGAGACACTGTTCATTGTAGCTGGGGGCAGATTGGCCAGTGGCCCCTGAGACTGGGGCCCAAAAACCAGAAACAGAGTGGGTAGAAGAACGTGGCATGGAGGGAGGGAGTGGAAAGCCTCTGGGAGGTGGCACTGGCCTCGCCCCAGCACTGAGCCAGGAGGAAGGGCAGAGTCGGAAGTCAGATCCTGGGTCGGGGGTGAGTGGAGGGCCATGGTGAGAATGCGAGAGCAATCGCACTTGGGGATGTGGTGTTTCCTGAGACTCAGCATAGTATCATGAGGAAGAGCATGGGGTTCGGGGTGAGACAGACCTGAGTTCAAATCCCAGCCACACTACCTGCAAAAATGTGTGACGTAGCTTCACCTCCCAGAGCTTCATTTCCTTATCTGTAAAGTGGGAATAAAATGCACCTACCTCCTAGTGTTGTGGTGAAAAATAAATGATGTAGTAGAAAATACTAGATGCCTGGCCGGAGTAATGGTAGTTCTCACTTATAGTTTGAGTTATGTCTGATAGAGGATGCTTTTGTCTGCTGCTTTTCCTCCCACCGTCAATCCTTTTAGGGTTTCTAAGCACGATCCTCTTCACCCATAGGGCCCCAGTCAGGTCCTCCAGATGGGTTTGGTGGGGTTGGAGGGGGGTGTGCATGTATGTGTGTGTGTGTGTGTGTGTGTGTGTGTGTGTGCGTGCCCATGCACATGTGCACGCACACACTTGCTTTCCCCTTTAGAATGTGGGTAGAGCTTATTGGTTCCCCTAACCTGCTGTTTACTCATCTGGAGCTGCCGCCTGATGGTGCTGATGGCTGTGAGGCCCCTTCCCGGCTGTACCTTTGGCTGCTCTCCCCTCCTGGCTGTGCTCCTTGGCTGTGCAGGTTCTGTTCTAATGCTTGCATTTGTCTTGCAGCCTCTCGCTCCTGTGAGGAAAGGCTTGTGTCCTGGGCCAGCCTGGGGCTGCTGTCAGGGTTAGCCCGAGCTCAGTCCGAGCCCTCCCTTACCCTGGCGGTGCCCTCTGCTAATAGTGGCGCTCCCTGTAAGTGAGCTGCCCATGAGTGCAGGATGTCGCCAGCAGTCCCTTGGCTTGGGAAGGGGGTGGAGGGCTCTTAGGGCACCTCAACTCTGCCTGCCTGTCAGTCTGAGCCTTGCCTTGGTTTTCCTGAGGGACACATCCTGGTATGAGAGCTGGTATGAGATTTATAGCTTCGCCAAAGCTTGTCCGGGGTAAATGGAGCCATCTCTCTAGGGAGAGGCTGTCAAGAGAAGAGTTTTTTTAGTTCCAAGATCCTTTATCCCAGAAAAGCCCTGTAAACTTATGGAGGAGATGTGCAGGGTGGAGAGAATGCCACATCCTTCCTAGGGCTCTGCTCCTCCTTTTGGAGCCCCCATCCCTGGCTGGGTTCTGGACCACTGAGTGGGGGGCTGTCACTGAGACCTGACTGAGCCCCTTCGGGTGGGAGAAGTGACTGGGTAGTGGAAACAGCTTCTTGAAGAGGCTGAGCCTACTAGGGATGTGATACATAGGCTCTGGGTAGAGTGTTCATGATGTGCCAGACCCCTCAGCTGTTAGACACAAGAGTGTTTGCTGAGACCTGGTTGTTGATGGAGAAGGAGGCGAAGGCCAGAGAACGAATGGGTGGGCTTCAGGAGGAGGGGGCCATTGGCTCCACTGACACCAGTGGGGTGGGTGAAGAGAAGGGTGGGCTCACTCTTCTGCAAAGGGCCTTAAGGACAGAGAAGAGGAAAGTCTTTGTCAAAGGGGTCACAGGGAACTCTTTGAAGGACTAGGGTGGACTGTCTGACCCTTGGGAGCTTCCCCAGTCCCACGCAGGTAAGTTGCTGGATGTTTTTCCCCACAGTGCGAAAACAGGAGATCATTAAGATCACAGAACAGCTGATTGAGGCCATCAACAATGGGGACTTTGAGGCCTACACGTGAGTAGAAATCCATGTTCTTGAGATCCAGTTGCCTCTCAAGGCCTTCCTTGCTCCCAGAAAGTAGCTGGGACCCTGGAGAAGGGAAAGCTGAGCTTTGGGCACAGGGTGTCTGCATTAAACACCAGGCCCCTAGGCTGGGAGCCCTTCCAGGTAGATATTCTGTGATCGAGCTCGCCCCTCGTGCCCTGGCTATGGGCAGAAAGGACTGGGCTGAGCGGACCAACAGGCAGGCCCCTAAGACCTTGGCTGTCTTGTCTGGCCTGGCACACAGCTAACCTGCAGCTGTGGGACAAATGCCACCGACAAGGAAGGAAGACAACCCCCATAGGAGCCTGACAAGCTGCTTTTTTTTTCTGCAGGAAGATTTGCGATCCTGGCCTCACTTCCTTTGAGCCCGAGGCCCTTGGCAACCTAGTGGAAGGGATGGATTTCCATAAGTTTTACTTTGAGAATCGTGAGTGGGTTCGTGCTGCTGATATACTCCTGCCTGCCCCTTCTTCCCCCTTCGCCTCTGTTCCCGTTCACCTTCTCCTCTTCCCAGTTGCCTGCTTTCCCCTTATTTTACCTGCCTGTTGTGCCCCTGGTCTGTGTGCTTACTCCCTGTGCTCTGACAATGGTCTTAAACTAGCCCTTTTGAAGGCACAGCCCCAGAACCCCATGTGCCCACTGGAGCTGGCAGAGTCTGCAGCTGCTGTATGGTAGGGCAGCCGCCACAATCAGATTCACTAGATTTCTTTAAGCCTCACCTCTTCCCGAGAAGGACTGGAAACCATTTGAGATTAGGTTGAGATGATCTCAGAAAGTAATAACGAAGCTCCGTGTCTGCAGGTTTCACAACAGAGGAAATAAAAACCAAAATAAGAATGTGTAAGCAAGTACCAGGGCACTGTTGGTGATTTGTGAGCTCCGAAGTTGTGGCTAGGCGCCTTCTGAATATCAAGGGATGCAGGAGTCCTGGAATAGGGAGAAGGCACTCTGGACAATTCTTAGAAGCCCTGGGGGATAAGAGGAACTGAATCATTGCCTCCACCCCTGCCACCTTTGCCCATCTTTCTCTCTCCTTTCCAAGACTCTCCCCTTCCTTATTATTTTTTTCATCTTTTTCACTTTTTCTTTGGCCTTTCCCATTCTGCCGTGAGTTTCATTTTATCACTGTTTTCTCCACTGGTAACCACCCACTCCACGTGTCAGCTACTCAGCTACAAATGTAAACCCTGGGCCCTCTAAGTAATTCTGTTAGCCAGAAGCAATTGCAGAGCTTATAGAAGCTCTAGGGAGGGTTTCATATGGCCTTTGTCTTAATACCTAAATTGAACTAAAATGTGAATCTGAATAAAAGCAACACCATTTGCACAGTGTATTCTGATAACAGCAATCCAACTTCCTTTGCCTTTCCCCCAGAGGATCCCGGGAACCCTGGGAATATCCCAAGCTTGGTGCTTTGGTGACTTTTGACTACTTTAACTTTAGTGCCCCCGTTTTTATTTTTGGTTGGTTGGTTGGTTGTTTTTTTAATCACAAGTCAGTTTTGAATAATTGCAGTTCATGATTTTGCTGTGCGGCCCTCATTAGGGGCAAGCAAGCCCTTATGAGATAGAAGCATCAGCCTGGCAGACTAGAAAGATGAGAGGCTTTAGTTAGGGTCAGACGGTCCTGAGTGCAAATATTGTATGATTTGGGCTAATTATTTAACCTCCTTGAGCCTATTTCCTTGTCTTATAATGAAGAAAATAATATCAACCAAGGGCTACAGCTCATACATGTGAATTAATTAGGCACAATGCCTAATTAAAATAGCACCTGCTGCCATCTTCGTCACCCCGCTTTCTCTTCCTTTTGGGTAAATTTGGAGACCAGTGTGATGGGGTGTCCTGCCTTTAGATGGTATATGGGGGGGACTTGGAGACTCTAGGAATGGTTGCTGGAAAGACAGTGAGACTTGGAAGTGCGGGGTGGAAGGAAGATGCAGGTCTTCAGGCCTGATGTCTTTCCTACCTACCCAACCCTGCCCTGCCCCCTGCAGTCCTCTCCAAGAACAGCAAGCCCATCCACACCACCATCCTGAACCCGCACGTTCACGTAATCGGGGAGGACGCTGCTTGCATCGCCTACATCCGCCTCACCCAGTACATCGATGGGCAGGGCCGGCCTCGCACCAGCCAGTCGGAGGAGACTCGGGTCTGGCACCGCCGGGATGGCAAGTGGCTCAATGTCCACTACCACTGCTCAGGGGCCCCTGCCGCACCTCTGCAGTGAGCTCAGCCACAGGTGCACCTGGGGGCAGGGCTGGGACAGGTGGGGTCAGAGGAGGAAGAGGAGGGTGGGAGGTGGCATGAGAGGAGGAGGTGTGGGCCATCTCATGGCATCTGGGCAGTATGGTCAGACAGACTTGGGTCCCTTTCCATGACTCCAAATGGAGTGACCTTGGGCAGGTTATTTCCTCTCCCTAAGCCTTGGTTTCCTTAGCTGCAAAAGAGGGAAAGAGTGGTGCCCACTTTATTGAGTGGTTGTGAGGATTAACTGCTGTAAAGCACTTGGTAAGTGCTGAGCAGTTGTGAGGCAGTGTTCTATTTAAACACTAGCTTCTTCCCATCCCCCCGCCCTTCTCAGGCAGACTTGGCCACGCGTGCAGTGTGTCTTGTAAGCCCCTGGAACTATTCTGTGTGCTTAGTGTCCTCTGTTTTGTTACTGTGTTATGTCCTGTTTGACAGGGGCATTAGGAGTTCCCAGCTGGAGGTCGAACCTTCGCAGCCAGTGGCTCTGGAGGGCCTGAGTGACAGCGGCAGTCCTGTTCGTTTGAGGTTTAAAACAATTAAATTACAAAGCGGCAGCAGCCAATGCACGCCCCTGCATGCAGCCCTCCCGCCCGCCCTTCGTGTCTGTCTCTGCTGTACCGAGGTGTTTTTTACATTTAAGAAAAGAAAAAAAGATTGTTTAAAAAAAAAAAGGAATCCGTACCATGATGTGTTTTAAAACCACCGATAGCCTTGGGCTGGCAAGAAAGCAAGAGTTTGTGTGACGCCCATCCTGGCATGAGCAGCGGGCTCACCCACCAGCCCAGAAGAGGCACGCTCGGCCTCTGGCCCCCATGGACTCAGGGGGACCAGGCAAGAACTCTGACAGAGCTTCGGGGCCATGATGTGATTGCAGCCTCTGATGTGGCCTGCCTGCCCCAGGTGTAGGAATGGACTTCTTCAGAACTTGCATGGGTGCCTAGAATGAGGCTGATGAGAACATCGTGGCCGTCAGACCTGTTTGGGAGAGGACGCAGAGCTCCCAGCCTGCTACAGAGGCAGCTGAGATGCAGTGGCCTCAGGACTGAGGGCCCGGACGTTGCTGTACTGTTCCGTGTAGTGTAGAAGGGAAGAGAATTGGTGCTGCAGAAGTGTGTTCGCGCCGAAGCCGATGAGAAACCTCGTGTTAGTCTGACATGCACTCACTTACTCATCCATTTCTATAGGATGCACAATGCACGGGGGCCCTGATACTGAGGCCTGAACCCTTGCAGGGAAGGGGAGGGGTTGCCGCTTTGCTTTGTGTTTGTTTTCTTATAACTTAGCAAGGAGAGAGCCAAGCCCTGGTCAGGCCTCTCCTTGCCACGTTTGGCAGTTGTTTTTGTGCTGACTTGGACCATCTTTGTCTTGCCTTTTCATGGTGGTGGTCCCTGTGCTGACACTCATTTGGACCTGGGCCCTCTGCCAAGTGCCCCTGTGGGATGGGAGGAGTGAGGCAGTGGGATTAGAGGTAGTGGTTGTTTCTATGCATTTGGGCTGCCCTCAGAACTGCCTCCCTTTTACTCTTCCCTTGCTGCACGTCCGTCTCTGTTCCTGTCTGAGATTGACCTGACTGCTCTGGCAAGAAGAACACGTGTCCTCTTTAAAGAGGCCTCTTCACTGACGAACCAAACTATAGACTTACTGCTGGACAATCTGCATGGGCATCGTCCTGCTCCCACTTGCATGCCCCCAAAAGAGGTGTCCAGAGCCATGGCCCCTACATTCACTTTCCCTCTCTGTGCTCGAAGAGTTCCATTCCAGGAGGAAAAGATCTATGCTCTAAGCAGATAGCAGAGAAGGGAATGGAGGAGCAATTGGTCATGGCCTGGGTTTTCCCAAAACAACTGTTCAGAGTTGTCTGCACAAATATCTGCACTTTGGGGGAAAGGTATGTAGACCCCAACTCCCTGGCATATCTCCAGGAGGCACAGGAGCTGGGGAAGAGGCAGAGCTGGGTTTACCTTGGAGCCAGCTGAGACAAGAGCAGACTCACAGGTGCTGGTGCTTGGATTTGGCCAGGCTCCTCCGAGCACCTCATGCATGCCCCAGCTCCTGGGCCCTGTCCCTTTCCTGCCCAGCAGCCTGCAGTGCCAGCACGCAGACACCTTCATCACGGGGTTTGGTTTTGCTGGCTTGAAGACAAATGGTCTTAGAGTTCATTGAGACCCATCGCTTCATATGGCTGCTCCAGCCCCACGTCTTCTTAGCATTCTTCCTCTTCTGGGGCTAATGTCGGCATCTATAGACTATTAAAAAAAAAAAAAAATCACCTTTTAAACAGGAAATGGAAGGCATTTGATGCAGAATTTTTGCATGATGACATAGAAATAATTTAAAAATAGTGTTTGTTCTGAATGTTGGTAGACCCTTCATAGCTTTGTTACAATGAAACCTTGAACTGAAGATATTTAATAAAATAACCTTTAAACAGTCCGTTGTGTTACTATTGTTGGAGGCTTATGGCCAGGGGCCTAGATTTTAGCAGCCTGGGTTACCGGGCTTGAACATGGAGAAGTGTGCCTTCTCCCACGCCCTTTGGGTCCTTTCTAGTGTAAGACGCCCTCATAAACTCTGAGCCTCCAAACCCTCCTCCTGGCTGCTGAGGCGAGTTTGGGGTGGGGAGGAGGGAGGTAGCCCATTTAACAGGTGGGTGGGTGTCTCGCTCCGCCCCTGGGCCCCGCCCACAGCCGAGGCCCGCCCCCGCCCACTGTCTCCTCAGTGGGCCGGTCCGCCTTCCCCTCGCAGGGCTGAGTGGACGAGCCCTACCCTGGACCCGCCCCTGCTCCCGGAGCCGCGGCGCTGACGCTCGCCAGACTGTGCCACCGGGCGGGGAGGAGGGGGGAGCCTCTGCGGGCGGGGCGCGGAACCCGCCGTCCCGGAGGCTGCATCTCGGCTGAGCGCTGCAGAGGACCGTGGAACTCCCCGGCCCTCGGCCGCGCTGCTGCCAGGCCCGGGGGCCGGCGAGGATCCGAGCGGGTACTTCGATCGGCAGCGCGCCACCTCCCCGCGGTGGGAGCGGTGGTTGGGCCCGGCTGCGGCCGAACGTTCGCTCGGAGATGGCGGAGCCGCCGCGACGCGGCCCGAGGCCCCGAGAGCCGGGAAGCCGGGCAGCCCCGGGACGCGGCGGAGCCCGGGGACAGCGGGGACGCCGTCCAGTCCGCCGGGTGAGCCGCCCTTGAGGAGAACTCCACACCCAGACTGTGGCCCCCACCCACGGTCGCCCTCAGTTCTCCCTTCACAGACTTCCCCTCAGTGTTGCCACTGTAACCACCCGCAGGGTCGCCCGGGCGGCCCTCAGTGCGGCCCAGTGCGCCCCTCGCCCTGTGTCCTTCTGGTCGCTTCCCTCTTAGTTGCCTCGTCCCCCTCAGCTTGCTCCCGCAGTACAGGGCTCTCTTCTCCCCTCGGGGCTCTCCTAGCCCAGTGCCTGCCTGGATGTCACCCCAGACATTCCTCAGCGCGCCCCTTTAATGTTTCACGTCCGTGTGCTCTTCATATCCACCTGTGACCCTGTATTCCCCCCTCAGTAGAGCCCCTCCATCCGTGATTCCCGCTGTGCCAGCACCCCATGCCCTTGTCCCCTCTCAGTACCCTCCCCCCAGCGCAGTGCCCACACCCACAGCCTTCGCCCAGTCCCTGTTAGTGTTGCCCTCTCCCAGCCCAGGCCCGGAAGACCCCTTTGGTTTCTCTCTTCTGGGAAACCTCTCGCTGCACATATGCATAGTTCCCCCCACCGCATATTTATCATGCCACCCACAACCTACCCCAATAGCTCTCTCAGCACTCCTTCCTGAAATATTGCTGCTGCTTCTAGGCATGAAGGTAAAATGCAGTGCTTAAGAGCACAGCCTTCGGAGCCTGACAGGCACGACTTTGAATCCCAGTTTCTCCACTGACTGACTAGCTGTTTGATCCTGGGCAGGTTACTAAGTTTCTCTGGGCCTCAAATTACTCATATGTAAAATGGGAATATTAACAGTAATACCTACTGCATAGAGCTGGTATTTTATGTTAAATGTATGTACAGCTCTTAGAAAAGTGTTTGGCGAGTAATAAGCTCTCAAAAAATGTTAACTACTATTATTATTATGAGTGATTCACTCTGAATATCCACTTCTCCTCAGTTATTTCTTCTCACAACCGTGTCTTCCCTAGTTTTCTCTAATTCTCAGTGTTCATCCCTCCCCATCACCATTTTGATCCTCTTTCCCAGCTCTCTTCCCATGTCAGTTAGTCTTACCCAGGCCAAAGCTGAATTCTTCTTAAATCGTTTCTCTCAATTCTGAAGGACCATGTCTCTGCCTGATCACCCCTGAGCTGTGTAGGGTGGTAGGGTAGGATTGCTGGCAACTGACCTGACTAGGCTAAGGTGGGGGGAGTGGCAATAAAGCTTCCAGAAGCAGTCTATCTAAGAAAAATAAGAAAAAAGTCCCCAAAATTAGGTCTTCTTAAAACTGTGCTTTCTGACCACATTATCCTTATTCCTCTCATTGGTTCCTGTTGTTCTCTGTCACCCAGCCCTACTCTGCTCTGTTTTTATGACAGGACTCTGAATCCTTCAGGTTTCTCTAAGTTACCTCAGGGACCCTTCTGATCTGTTCAGGAATGGGAGTATAATACAGTAAAATCTGCAAAAGCCGGAAACTGTATAAGGCGGAAACCTGTCAGAGAAGGAAAACTATTTTCTACTCAAAGGAGCAATAGAAAAGTGGTAAGACTGCACCCTGTCAAAGGCGGAAAACTTGCGAGACCCAGAAAAACAAGGCAGTCCTGTCAAGTTCCTGCTCTCACAGGTTTCACTGAACCACCTACGCTAGGTTAGGGAGGAGAACTGGAGTGGACAGGGAGAGGGACTCTGGATTCAGCTCTCTGGCTTTTCTCAGGTCTCAGTGATGTGATCTGCTCTGGGGCTGCATTGTTATCTCCTCTCCTGACACTGGCATAGGTGAGGTGAAGGGCCAAAGAAAACCAAACCACCCATTGCCGTCAAGTCAATTCCAGCAACCCTATAGGACAGAGTAGAACTGCCCCACAGGATTTCCAAGGCTATACTCTTTACAGAAGCAGACTGCCACACCATTCTCCCACAGAGACGCTGGTGGGTTTGAACTGCCAACCTTTTGGTTAGCAGCCGAGCGCTTCACCACTGCACCACCAGGGCTCCAGGTGAAGGGCAAGGGGTGGGTAATTTTTCACAAGCAATAGAGAAGAGAGTCCCTAAGTTCTGAGTTTGGAAGCTAATAGAATGATTATCTAGTAGCATCTCTCTTTCCCCCACCATAGCGTCCACTTGACTGCAAATTCATTATTTTTTAGTGCTGTTAGGCTGTGATACTGAGATTGATGAGGAAGATCAACAGGCTCATGAGTTTTATATGATATTTCGTTGGAGCACGAGATTTTTGGGGCTTTCCGTCCCTTTCTCACAGAAAGACCAGAGCCCCTGCTGGCTGGCCAGCTACTCAAAGCCTGGGAGCTTCTTTCAGAGCAGTTTCATTTTCAGCATCCTAGGCTGTTTGGCCACTTGTTGATAGGAGATTTGACCTCTTCTAGCCCTTCTAGCTCTGAGCTTAGCTCAGGGAGGAGAATTTGGACAGTATGCTAAGAAAGGGAATAAGCTGTGAAACAAAGGTATGAGACTCAGCTTGTGTTCTTCTGCAGGAGCTTGTTTTTGCAGAACAAATCATCCGGTGAGCAGGAGGTAAGAGGGACTGGGTGACGAGGGAAATGCATTAATGACACAATTTCAAGGGGAGAAGTAACCCATCAATTTCTCTTTCAGACAGTGGGGGCAGAGACTGTGAACTTCGCTGACTTCTGATGTGAGGAGCTCAGCCAGGGTCTAGGGTAGAGCCTGGCCAGATTTGCAGCCTGAAGCCATGGGCCAGGGGGCCATGGTGACCTGAGACCAATGGACTCTGTCCAGTTGCCCTGTGCTGCCCCTTCTACCTCCCCTATCTTATACTAAGGGGACTTGTCTTTACCTTTTCAGGGAATTGACCCTGAGGGAATCCCTTTCCCCTATTTTTCCATCCTTCCATTCTCCCAAGAGAGCCCTAGCTTAAAGAACTCCTATCTCCCATCCCTTGAGGTGGTCCTATTCCCTGCTTTCCCTCCCCCGCCATGCTACAGCTGTGGAAGGTGGTACGCCCAGCTCGGCAGCTGGAACTGCACCGCCTGATACTGCTGCTGATCGCTTTCAGTCTGGGCTCCATGGGCTTCCTGGCTTACTATGTGTCTACCAGCCCCAAAGCCAAGGAACCCTTGCCCTTGCCCTTGGGAGACTGCAGCAGTGGTGGGGCAGCTGGCCCTGGCCCTGCACGGCCTCCAGTCCCACCCCGGCCCCCCAGGCCTCCAGAGACAGCTCGAACTGAACCCGTGGTCCTTGTGTTTGTGGAGAGTGCATACTCACAGCTAGGGCAGGAAATTGTGGCCATCTTGGAGTCTAGTCGTTTTCGTTATAGCACTGAGCTGGCACCTGGCCGAGGGGACATGCCCACACTGACTGATCATACCCATGGCCGCTATGTCTTGGTCATTTATGAGAACTTGCTCAAGTATGTCAACCTGGATGCCTGGAGTCGGGAACTGTTGGACCGGTACTGCGTGGAGTATGGCGTGGGCATCATTGGCTTTTTCCGAGCCCATGAGCACAGCCTACTGAGTGCCCAGCTCAAGGGCTTTCCCCTTTTTCTATACTCAAACTTGGGACTCCGAGACTACCAAGTCAATCCTTCTGCCCCCCTACTGCATCTTACGCGCCCTAGCCGCCTGGAGCCTGGGCCACTGCCTGGTGATGACTGGACTATCTTCCAATCCAATCATAGCACATATGAACCAGTGCTTCTTGCCAGCCTCCGGCCAGCTGAGCTCCCTGTGCCAGGACCAGTGCCTCGCCGGACACGACTTCCCACTGTGGTACAGGACCTGGGGCTGCATGATGGCATCCAGCGGGTGCTCTTTGGCCATGGCCTTTCCTTCTGGCTCCATAAACTTGTCTTTGTTGATGCTGTTGCATACCTCACTGGCAAGCGCCTCTGCTTGGACCTTGACCGCTACATCTTGGTAGACATCGATGACATCTTTGTGGGCAAGGAAGGTACCCGCATGAAGGTGGCTGATGTTGAGGTCAGTGTTTTTTTTTCCTGGCTCACATTTCTTTTCCTTAGAAGCTGTTTCAAGCTCTGTCCTATCAGACTCCCTTCCTTGATTCTGAGCTTGTCATAGGTACAGTTCCTGTCCTTTCCAGGCAGGAAAAGCACTACTTCTCATTTTTCTCCTCTCAGCCTGCTCTCTCCTGATTTCTCATGTCCCTGCTACCCTTCCCAGGCCCTGCTGAACACCCAGAACAAACTCAGGACCTTAGTCCCCAACTTCACCTTCAACTTGGGCTTCTCGGGCAAGTTCTATCATACTGGTGAGCTTATTCCCCTGCTTTTGCAGCATATCAGTCTTAGTTTGATCTGTCCCTTCACTGCCCATCACCCTAGGCAGATAAGTTGGAGGAAAGGGGCATGGTTTGGGGTCAGACTGGTGTGAGGAGCAAGTGGTGGGTGTGAATTTAGGTTATCATGGATGGCTGGAGGGCAAGTTGGCAGTGGAGCAAATAGAAAGTCTTAGATGGGTAGGGGGTCAGTAATGTCCTAGGGATGGAAGATGGTCAATGTTACAGAACAAAGGAGGGCACAAGGGCTGATTGGCTGTGGTCAGTGTGTGGGTGGTCAGTGGCCAGTGTGTGATCATAGGGACAGAGGAGGAGGATGCAGGGGACGACATGCTGCTGAAGCACCGCAAAGAGTTTTGGTGGTTTCCCCACATGTGGAGCCACATGCAGCCACACCTGTTCCACAATCGGTCCGTGCTGGCTGACCAGATGAGGCTCAACAAACAGTTTGCTCTGGTGAGACGCTTGGATCCCTTCCCCATATAATTTCTCCCAAAGATAATATTTCCTTTTTAACCTGCCCCTAATGGGATGCCTCTTCCCTGCCCTTTCCATTTTCTTTCTGTGGAGGCATCCCCACCCTCTTTACCCTCTACGCCCCAAACCTCACCAGGTCCTGGTGAGAGTCTATGCCATTCCCAGGAACATGGGATTCCCACGGATCTGGGATATGCTGTGGCCCCACACCACTCGGGCGTGTACCCCATCCACATGCAACTCTATGAGGCCTGGAAATCTGTGTGGGGCATCCAGGTGACCAGCACTGAAGAGTATCCCCATCTCCGCCCTGCCCGCTACCGCCGTGGTTTCATCCATAATGGCATTATGGTGAGGGACTCCCAATACAACTTGAATCAAACCCCAACATTTAGACAGCCTCCAACCTGCACTGACCTGTGTCCAGTCACCTGCAAGTCCACTTTCATCCACATCATAATAATAGGGGATAGAGGGGTGAAAAGTCATAATGCACACAGCAAGACTGAGTCCTCTGTAAACCCAGGAAATCTCAATGCCTCAGGACCTTTCTCCTTCATCTACTTATTCTACCTTTCAAATCTCATCTGTCCCTGTTTCTTCTTCCCCTCGAGGTGCTGCCTCGGCAGACATGCGGCCTCTTCACTCATACAATCTTCTATAATGAGTATCCCGGAGGCTCTCATGAACTAGACCGGAGCATCCGAGGTGGAGAGCTCTTTCTGACAGTGCTCCTTAATCCGGTAAGGTGCTGATGGGAGGAAGGGCTACAGGATTAGAAAGCCAACATGTTTGCAGGTTGGGACCTTTGCTCACCAAGGCTGATTCTGAGGTAGGGTAGGCTCTCCAGATATGACATGCAGGTACTCCCTTGCAGATCAGCATCTTTATGACCCATCTGTCCAATTATGGAAATGACCGGCTGGGCCTGTACACCTTTGAGAGCTTGGTGCGCTTCCTCCAGTGCTGGACACGGCTGCGCCTGCAGACCTTGCCTCCCGTCCCTCTCGCACAAAAGTACTTTGAACTCTTCCCTCAGGAGCGAAGCCCCCTTTGGCAGGTAAGGGTAAGAGCTCAGGCAGACCAGAGACATGATGGGGTTGGGGGTTGGAGAGGAGATTAGGCCTTACCTGATTCTCGGCCTTCCCTTCAGAATCCCTGTGATGACAAGCGGCACAAAGATATTTGGTCCAAGGAGAAAACCTGTGATCGACTCCCCAAGTTCCTCATTGTGGGACCCCAGAAGACAGGTGAATCATTCTTAACCAACTTCTCTTCCCTGCTTTAAACCCAAAGGATTCTTTTGCCAAGGAACTCCCTTGTCATCCCACCCACTCACTAATTTAGTCTCTTGAGACCATGATTCTTAACCCTGCTTGAACATCAGAATCATCTGTGGAGTTTTTTTTTAAAGATCTACAAGTGATTCTGATGCAGTCAGGGTTGAGAACCACTGTTGTAACCTTTCCCTGGGCCTCTCTCAGATTTTCCTTCTCTCACTCTAATTTGGCACTGTTTTTACTATCCAGAGTGGTTCTTTCTCACCTCCTTCAAGTTCATGGTGTTGAGCTGGCTTCTTTCCTACAGTGGCCTCGTCTTTCTCTCCCATTTAGGGACCACAGCTATTCACTTCTTCCTGAGCCTGCACCCAGCTGTGACTAGCAGCTTCCCTAGCCCCAGCACCTTTGAGGAGATTCAGTTCTTCAACGGCCCTAATTACCACAAGGGCATTGACTGGTGAGACTGAGACCCCTCGGAACGCTTCTCAGAGCAACACTCCCTTCCCAAAAATACCCCATTCCAGCTTCTGTCACTACAGATGTCTGGCCCCTTCGCTCTGCAAATTTCTCTGCCTCTCCTCTATGCTACTTCCTAGGTACATGGACTTCTTCCCTGTCCCTTCCAATGCCAGCACTGACTTCCTATTTGAAAAAAGTGCCACCTACTTTGACTCAGAGGTTGTACCACGGCGGGGGGCTGCCCTACTGCCACGAGCCAAGATCATCACTGTGCTCACCAACCCTGCTGACCGGGCCTACTCTTGGTACCAGGTCTGCCTGAAGCTAGGGATACACTGGTGCTTACACAAGGGAGGTAGTGACCGCTAGAGAGGCAGAAAGGAATGAGGGTAGGGAAACTAGTGCCTTGGGGAAAGGTGCCTATGCTGTTTGATCACCAGACCAAGAGTAAGGGCAGAATAATTTTGTCGAATCACCAATCTTCGCTGTTTGTACTCCTTGTCCTTCAGCACCAGCGAGCACATGGAGACCCAGTTGCTCTGAACTATACCTTCTACCAGGTGATTTCAGCCTCCTCCCAGGCCCCTCTGGCACTTCGCTCCCTGCAGAACCGCTGTCTTATCCCTGGCCACTATTCTACCCATCTACAACGCTGGCTGACCTACTACCCCTCTGGACAGGTACAGTCCCCCTTCCCCCCATAACCCTCATTGGGGCTCCCCCTCCCTTCCTCTTCCCTTCAGTAATACAGAGAAAACCGCATCCCTGTCTCTTTAGTTGCTGATCGTGGATGGGCAGGACCTGCGTACCAACCCAGCAGCCTCAATGGAGAGCATCCAGAAGTTCCTGGGTATCACACCCTTTCTGAACTACACACGGACCCTCAGGTGGGAGAGCATGACCCAGGGGAGGAGTACTCTGGGGGAAATGGGGAAGCAGGTTGACTGTGTCTGTCTGGAAGAGACATGGGTTTACACTGTCTAACAAGGAGAGACGTGTCCATGTGGGCTGGCAGGGGTGGTATGCGTTTATGGGGGCTAGATTTCTCTTTTCCTTGACACCTAATAGCCTCTTCCTGATGAGCAGGTTTGATGAGGATAAGGGATTCTGGTGCCAGGGACTTGAAGGTGGCAAGACTCGCTGTCTAGGGAAGAGCAAAGGCCGGAGGTACCCAGATATGGATAGTGAGGTAGGTAAATGCCTCGGGCAGGGTATCCCTCTCAACCTCCAGATTTGATTCTGTGTCCCACTCCTTACCATGTGTGCCCTTATTTTTCTCCTGTCAGTCTCGCCTTTTCCTTACGGATTTTTTCCGGAACCACAATTTGGAGCTGTCAAAGCTGCTGAGCCGGCTTGGACAGCCAGTGCCCTCGTGGCTTCGAGAAGAACTGCAGCATTCCAGTCTAGGCTGATGTCCCAGTCTCTTGTGCCAGCAAAAGCCCCTGCTTCCTTAAGGCGCAAGCCCAGAGCAGGATCCACAAGCGGGATTAGAGTGGCCTGGCCCCTTCCCCTTCTACCTCAGTGGCCCCCAGACCTAGATGGGTGAGAAGGGGAGGGCATCCCTTTCCCATAACTCTGGGGTCTACTAAAGGGGCTTCCCTTGGTACCCTACGTCATGGTACTAGGTGCCTGTGACCCATGGTCTGGGGAGGAGGGGAGGAGTGAGACAGTCCAGGCAGGGTCTAGAGGAACATATTAGTCCAGTGATTTTCCTCTTCACCCCCAGCAGTGTAGTTATCTATCGTCTATGGGAGGGACCCCTTGCTGTGGCCCCTTTAGTCAGGCAGTGGGATCTACCTGTGGCCCGGCCTCCCTAATGTCATTCACATTGAATGGGGATGAGGTCGGACAGTGGCTCATAGAGCTGAGTATGAGCCCTAGCTGTGGGCTATAAATGTCCTTAATAAACATCCTTATTTTTCTGTTTCGTCTGCCTCACTAGGATGGGAAAAACTTAAAACAAGTGTCAGGCTCTCTAACCTTGCTTCAGGGTTCACCTGCAATGGAGGGAAAGAAGGGAGAGGCCCAGGCAAACTAGAGTAAAAAAGGAGTTTATATATTTATAAATGCCAAATAAATACCAGAGGCCACCCAACGCCCCCTCCCAGACAGGGCTGTCTCACCCAACCCTAGGCTTCTAGGGTCTGAGACATCTTGGCCCCAAGCTACAGCCCAAGAGCAGCTGCCAGTCTGGGCTACCGGGGAATTGAGTGGGGATGATCTGTCCAGCCAAGATTCACTCCCCCTGTGTGAGGGGCCCCCATAGCCACAGGCCTGTGTCCCTGTATAGGGCCCTAGAGGAGCCAGACTCAGGGGGAGAAGGTGGTCATCTCGAGTGAGACCCGCTGCCACAGCTCCTTGGTCTGTTTGCTGCGCTTGAGGTTCTGCAGGATGTCGTTGAACTGCATCATGCCCATGGGTGTCAGGCAGAAGGCGCTGCGGGCACTGCGGATCGCATTCACAAAGTCGTCGTAGTCGGCAGGGGTCAGGTGAATCAAGCGGTGGTGGATGTACTGGAGGAGGATGTGTGGGGGATGAGCCACCAAGCACAGAACCAGGCCCCTCACCTCTGCATGCTGGGTGATCTGGTCCGTGACTGCCCAGAAGGTGCTCCACCCTGCTCCATACTTCCTGGGTAGTCACCTGCATGTATGCCTGCTGGCAACGCTGCACCAGTTGGTGGAAGGCCGGGGCACGCAGGTGGTTGTGGGCATGAGCAGGGCTCAGCCGCTGCAGCGTCTCCATGACGATCTCCTGCAGCACAAACGGGCTCAGCACCCCCTTGGCTGCCCCCACACAGAACTGGTGCACGTAGTTCACTCCTGGGGGGCAGGGGGGAGGGGCATGAGACGGGGGTGGCCACCTCTGCCCTAGGGACCCAACTTTTCTCTCTCAGCTCTGGCCTGGCAGAGAGCCGCCCTCCACCCCAGGAGCTGAGGTAACCCCCCGCCCCCCGCGCACGCACACATACCCGACCAAGGCCTCAACTCAGCAAGAGCTAGGAAGGAGGTCTGGGATAGGAAGTTGGGGGGAGCAGGTGAGGGGGGGACAATGGTCCTGGGGAGGGGAGGTGTTACCCAGCTTTGCTGCCAGCCCCAGCAACCATTTGACATCATCAGTGTAGGGGGGGGAGCGGGAGAAGTTGTTGGGGTGATCGTTGTGTGCCCGGCGACCCAGCATCTCCAGTGCCAGCATTCCTGGAGAGAAGGGTAAGCACATCCTCTTCATCCTCTACCTAAACCTGGTGCCTGACCCCACAGTAAACAAATAAAGAGGTATTGGCGGGGCATGGGCACTTAAGAGCCTCTGGCGCAATTGTGGGTAGAAGCACAGAAAGGGACCCTGTCTCACCAACACGGTAGGCAGCGTGCAGGTGATGTAAGCTGTGTGGATTGACAGGTTGGCTGTGCGTCTCCTCCTCGGGTGGTGGAAAAACCCCGCTCACCAGAGGGCTGGGCTGTGTGGTCAGGGCAGGCAGCGAGGCACCCTGGATGGCTGGAAACGTGGAAGCTGGATGGACACTGCTCACTGAGGGTGGGATGAAAGCCATGTGAGGAACTCAGAGCCCAAAGAGGGGCAGAGAAGATTGCCTCCCACCTCCCCTGCCTCATTTACCTCCCCTCCATTCACCTGCTCCCTGTCCCCACAACTCACAGGCCACACTGGTGGGCAGTGGGAGCCCTGGCTCTGTGTGGTAGGGATGTACTGTGATGGGTGCCATGGAAGGGACGGGGAAAGACACAGCAGTGGCAGCAAGTGAGGGGGGAGTCACTGAGTAAGGGTACTGAGCCCCCAGGAATGCAGGATGCACACCCTAGAGGAAGGGAGAGGAAGAGAAGGAAGATACCAAGTTATACTAAGATGTGGCTCTCCCCCTTCGTCCCACAACTGGGTCTCTCTACACTTCTTAGTTGGGCTGGATCCCCCAGACTCCTACCACCCCACCAGGACTCTTGGACTGTACTATTTTACCCAGAGTGCCTACTCCAGCCCCCCATGAACTCCCAATGTTCTCCCACATGCCCCACCCCCAGGAGAACACTGGTCTCACCTGTGGGTATGCAGAGCTGGGCACAGGGAAGACGGCAGGCCGGGGCATGTGAGGCATGGGGTGGGCCGGGTGAGCTGGGTGGGTGAGGTATTGAGGGCTGCAGGGCAGGTGGGGCTGTAGAGCAGTGTAGGGGTGCAGGCCAGGGGAGTGACCATGCCCCAGTCCTGGACCTGGATATAAACTGGACCCCACCGAGATGACTGGCACCACTGTGGCTGCTGCTGTCACTGCTGCCGCTGCCACTGTAACCGGCTCAGTCCCTGGGCCCCCCCTGCCCTCAGGCAGCCCCCGCCCAGCCTCCCCAGCTGCCCTGATCCCACTGGCACTACAGCTTGTAGCCCCTTCACGGGCTGTGGATGAGCCACCTGCTGTTTGCTCATATAGCCAGAACCACTGGTGAGCAACCTCAAACAACACTTCGGGGTACACGCCCCCACCCTTAGCCGCCTCTTCCACTGCCATGCAGGCCTTCTCCAACATCAGGTTATCCTGGAAGAGGGGCACAGAGGGTTAGAGGGAAGGGCTTTACCTAATAGACCTCAGGGACACTTGTAGATGACATTCTAATGTCTCCCTCAGAGTTAGTTGGTTCCCCAGGAGGCATCAAAGGTCAGGGCCAATGCTCAGAGCCAGTGGTATAGCAGTGAGTGCTTTGTAAAGATACTGGACAGGTACTTGCTGACTACCAGGAATCAAGATCCAGGTCATAGTCCCAGTTCCAAACTAATTTAACCACCCCCTCCCATCCAAGTCTCACATCTCCGGAGGCCTTCCCTAAGTATCCCACCCTGGGTGATTATTCCTAATCTATGGGCCTCTACTTCCTTATCTGTAAAACAGGAATAATCCTAACCTCAGAGTTGTAAGGAGAAAGGAAATGATGAATGTGAGAGCACCTTAATACGTAAAATGTCACCATCAGAAGACACACTGGATAGTTTGTAAATTCCAGAATATGAGAATCAAGAGTGGAGCCCTCAACTTTCCAATGTCCAACCTCCCCTCCTCAGATGCCCCAAAGCATGTCCCCAGATTGCCTGTAGAAATACCTGCTCCTTGCACTGTACCAGGGCCCGCTGGATCTCATTGGGGTTCAACGCATGGGCATGAGGCAGGCAGCTTAGGGCTAGCTCTGCTGCTGCCCTCACCATATTGGAGTCTCGTGCCCGTGATGCCCTGTCAGCCAGGGATGCAACCTCAGGGGGTGTCAGGTGCCCATCCCAGCATTCTACCAGGATAGTCAGGGCTGCGCTGCCAATCTCCATTGCCTGGCCTTCAGGGAGAGGAGAGAAGACCAGAGTGGGTTTAGCATGGGCACCACAGGAGAGAATGATCTATCGGATCACCAACTCCACAAAGATAAGCCTCCTATTTTCACCAATTAATCCCCCTCCCATACCCAAATCAGGACACTGGATTTACCTGTAATCCAGGAAACGTGGGAAGAATAGGTACGTGAGAGCCAGTTGGGAGAAACAAAGTTGTGCAGGCCAAGGGCATAAAGCCCGATCTCGAAGGCGCAAAGGTGCAAGTTGCGGTGAGGACCCTGGTGGCCCCCTGAGGAAGATGGATGTGTGAAAATGGAAGTGCTGCTGTTGCCCCCTGCCTTGATCAGCACCGTCTTCGCCAGTTCGAAGTAGAAGTGTGCAGCTGCTTCTGACGGCTGATTGGGTACATGAGGGGCATGACTCTCGGGGCGGCGGCCCTTGTACCTGAAGGGGCAATGGGGTAGGGACGGGGGTTGGGGTTTTTCTGAAATAGGTGTCTGTCTGGGTAGATTAGGAAGGGCCAGGGTAGATGAGGACATTAGAGGGATAATGGTTGGGTTATACTAGGGATGTGGCTCTGAGGATAGGCCAGATCAGAGACGAGTATTTCTTCTCACTGACCTGCCAACTTCCACTGTCTTGGCCCGGGCCCCTCCACTGGCACTGGCCCGGCGACTTCCACTGGAGGACGAGGAGCCCAGAGAGTCCGAGGAAGAGCTGCTAATGCTGTCACTGTCCTGTCCTCGACCCCAGGAGGTGGGGGCCCAGCCCCCTCGAAGTGGCCTCCGACTTAGGGTAGGAGAGCTATCCGATGTCGTTTCAGGGGCACTGCTGTCAATGCTGGCCATGCCTGACCCCCCCAAAACAAGGCAGTCCCAGAAGTAAGGAGAACTGCCAGACTCCGGCCTTCAGGAACAGCCTTCCCTCCGTGCCATCCCAGCAGCTATCATACCTGTGTGCTTCTTCTTGGGCCGCCCTGGGGAGCCCCAGCCCCGTCCATTGTAGCCTCCGCGACTGCCAAGCGCCAGGCGGCTTGGAACCTTCCCCTCTGGCCTTGGGGCCAAAGCTGCCTCAGATGGGAGACCCTCACAGGGGGAATGTGGTGAACTCTCTAGGTAAAGAAAATAGGACACTGGGATGAGCCCAGGAAAGGGGACCCCAACATGACTCCATACCATTCATCCCCCTGCCCAGTGCCCCCACCTCACCAGGCACATTCTTCTCTGTGAAGCCCTCAGTGGGGCCTGGCCCAGCCCCTGCCACACTCCCTGGCTGAGCA